TGCAATAAGATTTGTCTGGCATGATCTATTTTTGACAAACCCATGTTGGCTTTTAGTAATGACTTTGTTTGCCTCTAGGTGTTCGTTGATTCGTTGTTTGATTATCTTTTCCAGGATCTTCCCAGGTATTGAGGTCAGGCTGATAGGTCTGTAATTTCCTGGATCCATTTTTTTTCCTTTTTTGAGGATGGGAACTACATCAGCTCTTTTCCAGTCCTCTGGTAGTTCCCCTGTGTTCCAGGATCTTTGAAAAATATAGTTCAGTGGCTCCGATATCACATCTGCCAGTTCCTTGAGAACTCTGGGGTGTAATCCGTCTGGTCCTGGCGATTTGAACTCATCTAGGCTGGACAGGTGCTCACTAACGATTTTCTTACATGATTGCTGAGTTACACTGTATTACATTGTATTACTGAGCCGTGATGGCGCAGAGGTTAGAATGCAGTATCGCAGGCTAATTCTGCCGACTGCCAGCAGTTCAATCCTGAATGGCTCAAGGTTGACTCAGCCTTCCATCTTTCTGAAGTCGATAAAATGAGGACCCAGATTGTTGGGGGCAATAGACTGCTCTGTAAACTGCTTAGAGAGGGCTATAAAGCACTGTGAAGCGGTATACAATTCTAAGTGTTATTGCTGCATGAAGACCATTCACATAACCTAGTTATCTTCAGAAAACTGAATCCAAAATTAATATCAGTATGTACATTTGAGGTTCATTTTGCTACTCCATTTATATTGTTAGAATAGGTAAATCAGAATCAGGAAGAGGATGATAGGTGCTTTGGGCCAGAGGTCACCAAGGCAAAGCAAGGAAAACCTGTCAATACCCATATGATGAGCTGTGGTGGTGGTGCAGATATGGATGGTGGTCACTTCTACTCTGTGGGAATTTTGCTGAAAATCTTTTTACGGCTAATTGTGTCAGCATAGTTGAGGCTTAAGAGTTCCGTTGTTACCTGCTGAAAATGCACGATAAATGTGCTAGCTTCCCTTTTTCTCCCTCCCCTCCCCACAAATAGTGAGAATTGTTAGAAGTATGTTCTTCATTTAATGCTGAGACTTCAAAGTGTTGGAAAAAAAAGTCTTCATCCTGGTTCAGTCCAAGCTGGGAATAAACATGGCGACTGCTTTAGGAAGAAGGTTGCAGTTTATTGAAGAGGAGAGCCAGACAGAAAAATGGTTCTGGCAGAAGAAAAAAGAGAGCACATGTAGGGAGTGGAGCCTTTTGTTTGGTGTTGTTTCCTGTTCCTGTTTGAGGCTATCTCCTGTGTCATGTATTCTGACCTGAGTCTGGTTGTGCCTTTCTGGTATTCTGATGGTGATGGGTTTATCCTATTATGTCCCAAAGATCATATCCTGTTTCCCTAGGGCTGGGGCTGATGACTCTTAGAGTTTGGGTGAGATATGTAGATTTTAGGTGTCTTTGTCTTCTTAATCTTCTAGCTTCAACCTTACTGGATTTACATCTGCATTTCTACAGAGCTGGTTTCTGCTTGGGGGAGGGAGACTTAGGGCTATTAAGAAAAATTGGGCATGCTTTTCTGCCTCTTTAAGATCCTTTGAGGAAATATATTTTTCTGCCCTTTTAATATTTCCTTCTTTCTAGGGGGCTGACTTCCCACAGAAGGAATAAGTAATTAGAAAGAAAACTGAAACATCTTTCCACCATTTGAACTGTTTCTCTCCAGTATCTTCACTTTAATCCTTTCCATCTCTTTTTTTTAAACCTCTGTCTCTGCTCCAGTTTGGAGATTGCTCGATCTTTCTAAGGAAGCTGCTCAGGGTTATATAATAAAAATGTAAGTGATTGCCAAATTCATGCAATTAAAGTAGTATCTAGCTTGGCTTTTAGTGAGTCAGGGAGATTAGGCTGGTGTTTTCAGCTTCGTGCTTTGAGCAGCCTGAAGATGATGAATGGGACTTCGTCGAAACGTCGCCAAGACACTTCCAATTTTACGCGGGAGAAAACCCGAACAACCAAAGACCTACATACATACATACATACATACATACATACATACATACATACATACATACATACATATATATATATATATATATATATATATATATATATATAGGTCCTGGTCTGTTATTAAGCTGTTTGATAAAGTGAATTTAATATTATAGAAAATGCTATACAAATTATCAGCCCTGGAAAGTAATTAACTGCTGCCTCCCTGAAACATTTGCAAAAAACTGTATTGTGACTCTGAATTAGCTTATTACTCATTCTTCCCTTTAGTGATCTCAGCTCCTTCTTTGTTTGTTTGTTACTCTGGAGCCCAGCAGATAATAATGTTATGCTGTAATATGGAGACGAAAGCAATTTATTGCATATGTAACAAAAAACCAGTGAGGGACCAATTTTCAACATTGGGAATACAGAAATTGCTACTTTATAATGAGGTTTTTGGTCTCATTATAGTCAATATTTTGCATATTGGCAACTCCCCACAAGCTGATGATGCAAACAAATAAACCTAGGAGCAACCTATGTTGAAAATGGGACCCTGAATATTATCCCTAATGTTAGTGCATGCCAATATAATGTCCATTGTTTAATAGGCCCCTAAGAAGTCATCCCCTGCAGATTATGGGATGCTGTGAAATTCCACACACTCTCCCATCAAAACTACAGTTGGATACTTATATCATGCCTTTAATTAAGACTGGGCTCTTTGGTACTTACCTATTCGATCTTCTTAACATCTGAAAGTACATTACAACCACTTTGATTCATAATAATAATAATAAAAATAATAACAATAACAATAATGTTGGAAGGGACCTTGGAGGTCATCTAGTCCAACCCCCTGCTCAGGCAGGAAACCCTATACCATTTTGGACAAATGGCTGTCCAGTTTCTTCTTAAAAACTTCCGGTGTTGGAGCATTCACCGCTTCTGGAGGCAGGTTGTTCCACTGGTTAATTGTTCTAACTGTCAGGAAGTTTCTCCTTAGTTCTAGGTTGCTTCTCTCCTTGATTAGTTTCCACCCGTTGATTCTTGTCCTGCCTTCAGGTGTTTTGGAGAATAGCTTGACTCCCTCTTCTTTGGGGCAGCCCCTGAGATATTGGAACATAGCTATCATGTCCCCCCTCATCTGTCTCTTTGTTAAACTAGACATACCCAAGTCCAGCAATCGTTCCTTATATGCTTTAGCCTCCAGTCCCTTAATCATCTTTGTTGCTCTTCTCTGAACTCTTTCTAGAGTCTCAACATCTTTTTTACATCGTGGTGACCAAAACTGGATGCCGTATTTCAAGTGTGGCCTTACCAAGGCATTGTAAAGTGGTATTAATACTTCATGTGATCTTGATTCTATCCCTCTGTTAATGCAGTCTAGCACTGTGTTGGCTTTTTTGGCAGCTGCAGCACACTACTGGCTCATATTTAAATGATTGTCCGCTTGAACTCCGAGATCCCTCTCACAGTTACTACTATTGAGCAAGGTACCCCCTATACTATACTTGTGGATTTGGTTTTTCTTGCTTAGATGTAGAACCTTACTTTTTTTACCACTGAATTTCATTTTGTTAGATAGCGCCCAGTGTTCAAGTCTGTCCAGATCCTCCTGTATCCTAAGCCTGTCTTCTGGAGTGTTGGCTATTCCTGCCAGCTTGGTGTCGTCTGCAAATTTGATGAGTTCCCCATCTATCCCCTCATCCAGATAGTTGATGAAGATGAAGAGCACTGGGCCCAGAACAGAGCCCTGGAGCACCCCACTACACACTTCCCTCCATGTAGAGGGAATCAAACAAAATTGCTTCCACTAAATTAGATTGTGCAAAGAACTTTGAAGAGTTAAAATTAGTGCAAGCAGAAGTCAGCTATGCACGCAAAGACCATGTCCCTATGTAGATTCTTTAATAGTTTTTCAAGACTACCTTTCCTTTTTCACAATTTTGCAACAAGCGCCAGGACGAAGGAAAACAGAGGACTGAATACAAGAGTATTAAAATACATCTGAAATAAAACTTGTAACTATTAGTCCATCTTATAGCAAATACTTTAGATTGAAGACAGGGATCAGCCAAAAAGCTGCCAAAGGTGGTATGACATATGTGATGCCCCTGGCTATCTCATTCCTGTAAATACTGGAGCATTAAAATGGCTCAAATTATACAAGATAGCTAAAACTAGAAGAATTATTGCTCACGTGAGGTTTTGTGAGATTCTACCTAGTTTGCATAATTTTAAAAATATACACTATGTTGTCATGGTTTGGCATTCAGGACACTGCATGGAATCAATGAGTGTCTCATTTGGGAAAGAGCCAACAACAGGCACATCGAGATAAACAACATCTCCACATCATTCAAAAGAGACAATCAGAAAGCCAAAAAGGAAACAAAAAGACCAAAACACCTCCTCACCAGCAATCAACACCTAGATAAGCAGACAGCAATGCCAAGTTCAATATTAGACCAACAATCTAGAAATAAACAATATCCCCAATCAAGGAATTACCAACTCAGACAAACAAGCTAATAACACTCCCTGACAGGGCAAGCCACTCATACATAAACAGACAGCAAACCCCTAAAAAGAATTCAACTGTTATAATTGTTTTGTTTGTTTCATGCAGAGGACTATTATTTTTACTGTGATGAGAGTCTTGACTCCCCCAACTCCCATGTGTGATGTGTTGCCCATCCTAATCTAACACCCTTTCCAGAAAATTCAATATTGGCCCGAAGAGAGGGAAATGGGATTTGTAATCAATAACAAGGTGAAGAAACAATAAAAACAATAGTTTTTCTACAGTTGTAAGAACTTTTCTAACTCAGCCATGGAAGCAGAGAATTTTACAAAGGTTCCCAATGGACAAACTGTTGCTCAGTACTCTTCAGGTAAAACTTTGTTTCACAATAAACAACATTGCAATTATTGTTCCTCCTCAAAACTGCCTTAGGTTGACCTTATTAGCCAATATAGCTTCTATTTTCAACTTGTCTAAAATTGAGGTGCTAAAGAAGAGGGAAAAAAGCACTATTACCTTCTTAGATTTCTTTGCAGTTTCCTGGGATCAAATGTTTTCTCAGAAATGGATGCTTTTTGGCTAGTTATTATCACATCTTTCACCTGGGAGAGAATAACAATTTGGTTTCCTTATTTTGTTGCAGCTTTTAGCAAAATGGGGGGAAATAGAGGCACAAATATTTTACTTAATGTTAGAGTTCGTCTTATTTGAATAAAATATTGTTAAGCAAACAATATTTGGAAAGGAAAAGGAAAGCAAACACTGAAAAGAACATCTGAATGCACCAAGTACAGGAAACAATTCTCCATCTTCATCAAATAGGTATATTTGAATTTATTACATATTTGTGATGACTCCCCCAGACGCTTCCCCAGATGCCTCTCCGGATGTCATTTTGAAGGAGGATGAGCCAGTCCCAGGCATGACAGGAGGGAAATTGGGCAATGGCTCTGAGGAAGGGGCTGTGAGTCCAAGTCAGGGGGAGTGGTTGATGAGAGAGAAACTGGACGACCAGCTGGCTGAGAGGGATTTGGCTGAAGCACAGCTGCAGCAGGACAGCCCTGAGGCTTCAGATGGGGAAAGAGCAACTGCCTTCTGCACCTGATCCAAGAACATGTAGGGCGGAGAAAAGACAGGAGCAGTGAAAGTCATCCCGACTATTCACAAGAAGGCAGCTTCATCCCTCTCGATGGGTTGCACCAGAAGCTGGCTATTTAGCGCAGCTGACAGATGGAGGTGATGCTGGGAACAACATGTTCATTTCCTAGCTGTGTGTTTCCTGGTTGTTGTGATTCCTGCCTTGCTTTGGATTGACAACCGTGCCTTGACTTTGGATTGTGCCTTGTGAACTCTGGACTTTTCTCACCTTCTTGTGTTGTGGATTTAATTTTGCCTGGTGGATTTGTCTTGTTTGGAAAACTTCCAAGTGACTTGTGGACTCATTAGCCATTGCTCTGTGGACTAGTATTGGTCTGCTTTTGGCTGGACTTAATTGGGACAGTTCTGAGTTTTTGGTGAAGGGAATTGCTGGGGAATGTTAATAAACCCACTAAATTAACATTGCATGTGAGTGAGTGGGACGAGCACACTATAACATGTAATGATTCCAGAATTATTTCCAAATTGTTTATATATTAAAAGTATATAAAATGCTATCTAGCCAGAATTAAATCCATTCTAGAGGCACCTATTTCAGTCAGACCGTCATAGAAACGCTCAATGCTTTCCTGTTTCAAATCTTCATAGAAATTTGAATTCCTCCATTCGGTTGAAAAATCTTTATAATGCAGACTTGAAATGAAAATTATAAGTCTGAATTATATCTGATACAAAATTCTCCAGAGCTAGAGTAGATTATTGATCCAGATTCTTAAAAATTAATACTGGAAACACAGTCCCACATATTTGCTTTTTTTAAAAAAAAATAATCTTCTGTAAGATGGTGTCTGCTAGATTTATAGGATTTCTACTGTTTAATCTGCCATTTGTCTGAAATGGCATAGGGTTTCCTGCCTGAACAAAGGTTGGACTAGATGACCTCCAAGGTCCCTTCCAACTCTGTTGTTCTGTTGTTCTTAGCCATGAAAGCCGGCTGGGTGACTTTGGGGAAAATAGGAGGAGGATGGAGTATTATGTATGTATGTGAGTTACGTATAAAGTAATAAACATGGGATAAAAACCTAATAATAAATAAATAAAATAAATAACTTTAAATTCAACTGTACGTTCAACAAGATTCTAGTCAAGAATGGGATCCTAAGAAAGTAGAAGAAAATTCAAGCATGCTAAAGGAGAACTTCTAGTTGGCCACACATGGTCCTTAAAACACTTTTTCAAGTGAATAAGCAGAAAAAAAAATGGTACTGGCAATTTCTTCCCTGTAATTCATCAATGATTTCCCAAAGGTAGACCTTCTGATGGTATAAATGCTAATGAAAAAGCCCCATGGGACTTGTTTCATCACAACACGTTCCCTTGGGATTTTTGGCCTATTTTCTGGGTGGAAAATAATATACACATCCCATGACAAGGCAGAAAAAAATGGAATAAGCTTCCTTCTAAAGATGAAAAGCCAGAATATAAATCAACTGGGATGAATATTCAATTGTCAGAAAAAAAAATATCTTCAAAATCTCTTCAGAGGATTCTAAAGTGCTCTCACCGATTTGCCAAAGTGGGCCTTCTGAAACTAATAGGGATGGATTTTAAATGAAATTTGTTTTGGAGAAGCGGGATGTTGCTCAAAAGAATAAAATTCAGGCAGGATTCCAGCCATTGATGAGGCTGCAAACCTGTCACTGCAGATGCACTGCCTGAATTAATGAGGGACCCAGCAAGACAAGACAGATGGCGAAAACTTGAAGGAAGTTGGCTACATACAACTTGGATAAGGAATCACATTTCAGAACAAATTCAGAAAAGGGGAGGGAGGGAGGGAGGGAGGGAGGGAGGGAGGGAGGGAGGGAGGAAGGAGATGGGATGGAGGGAGGGGTAAGAGAAGGGAGATGGGTGGGTGAAGGAAGGAAAGGAAGGAAGGAAGGGAAGGAAGGAAGGAAGGAAGGAAGGAAGGAGAGAGATGGGGGTAGGGGAAGGAAGGAAAGGAAGAAGAAAGGAAGGAGGGAGGGAGGGAAGAAAGGAAGAAGAGGGATGGGAGGGTAAGGGAAGGAAGGAAAGGAAGGAAGGAAGGGAGAGATAGGGTAGGGGAAGGAAGGAGAAGAAAAGGAAGGAAGGGAGGGAAGAAAGGAAGGAGAAGGATGGGAGGGTAAGGGAAGGAAGGAAGGAAGGAAGGAAGGAAGGAAGGAAGGAAGGAAGGAAGGAAGGAAGGAAGGAAGGAAGGAAGGAAGGAGAGAGATGGATGGGAGGGTAGTGGAAGGAAGGAAGGAGAAAAGGAAGGAAGAAAGGAGATGGAGGGGAAGGAGGGATAGGAGAAGGGAAGGAAGGAGAAGAAAGAGAGGGAGGGAGGGCAGCAAAGGACAATATTTGTACAAGTACCGTAAATGCTGGCATATAAGGCGACTTCCGCGAGCGCTGAAATCGGCGCCAAAGACGGGGGTCGTCTTATACGCCGTCTTATACGCCGGAAATACTGGTAGTTTCCGGGGTATAAGACGACGTTCTAGGAATGCGGCCCGGCTATAAAGACGGGGGTCGTCTTATAGTGCCGGGTCGCCTTGTACGCCAGCATTTACGGTAGGTCAAAGTTGAAACTGCACTAATATCTCTGTTCAATCTTTGCCCCACCTTTGGCATGCTGATAACCAAATGTCCAGTAGTCTGAGATCTTTCAGCAACGCTGCTATCTGGCTTGACTTCTTCGGGTAGCACAAGTTGAAATGCCTTTTAAAAAAACACACCAACAAATATTAGCCTTTGAGGCAGCTCAGACCAGAAGCACAACCACGAGCGTTAACTCTTGTCATGAGGTTGCATTAACAGATTCTTGCAAGTTTGAAAGTAGCCCTCCCATTTTTTGATTTTTACTCTCCTGAAAATTAAGAGAGGCTCCCTTCTGAGACGCTTTCTCCATCCCCCCATCCTCCTTTGGACTTGAGTTTTCATTCATCAGACCATTGTCCAGGCTTCAGCTCTTCTTCCTCTCTCCCAAAGTCAGTCCCACACACCATTGCAACAAACTGTCTATTTGATGCAGAAATAATCCAAACACTTTAGCTTGCTAAGCTTAATTTGGATGGGTTATGACAGGAGTAAGCAACCTTGGCTCTTTTATGACTTGTGGACTTCAGCTCCCAGAATTCCTGAGCCAGCATGGCTTAGCTTGGAAACCTCTCCTTTCCCTTCAGCATGGCTGCCTCAGGAATTCTGGGAGTTGAAGTCCACAAGTCATAAAACTGCCAAGGTTGCCTACCCCTGGGTTATGATGATGCAACATATCAAGGCAAGGTGGGTGGACTCCGTTACAGCAGCAACCAGTTTTTGTTATTGTTTGGTCAGTAAACCGTGTCCAACTCTTCCCAACTCCATGGATCACAGCACGCCAGGCCCTCCTGTCCTCCGCTGCCTCTCGGAGTCTGACCAAATTCGTTGTCATGGTTCCAAAAAGAAGCAGCTTTTCAAAGAACATTGAGGCTTATTTACCTTAAAGAATCCTTTTATTTCTACATAGCTTCGGTACATACAAAGTTAAGCCAAAAACTGAATCCTCCCTCCCCCAATCACCCGGGACAAAACATAACTCACTCCTTCATTTTACAGTCATCAATCACATTCTCCAATTAATGTGAAGTGTGAGGTGCCCCTCCCGTTACAGCTGACCTTGGCAATGCTGTGGTGAGATATTGTTATGGTTAGCTAGCATGTTTTCCCATCCACTAGGCTAGTATTGTCTGCTTTAACTCTAGAAGTGATATGCAGGCTAAATAAACATGTTTGCTTCTTCATATATGACAAGCAAGAACATCCGATGTTAGCAGTCTTGACATTCATGTTCATTGCATCAATGACACTATCTAACCATCTCCTTCTCTGCCATCCCCTTCTCCTTTTGCCTTCAGTCTTTCCCAACAATCAGGGTCTTCTCCAAGGAGTCCTCAGTTGATGGCCAAAGTATTTGAGCTTCAGTGTCAGTCTCTGTCCTTCCAAAGAACAGCCAGGGTTGACTTCCTTTAGGATTGACGGACTGGATCTCCTTTCAATCCAAGGCACTTCCTCAGGGGTCTTCTTCTCCAACACCACCATTTGAAAGCATCCATTCTTCAGCACTCAGCCTTCCTTATGGCCAATTCTGACAGCCATATAAGCTACTGGGGAAACCCGTAGCATCATTGGAAGATCTGAAGGTCCAGACTGAGGCAGAGTATTTATAGAGACAATCTATCGGAGACGTTGCTAACATTCCATACTAACTTAATGACATGTATCAATCAATCAATCAAGCAAGCAAGCAACAAAGAAATAAAAAAAAGGTCTGTGATCTAGATAAATAATTAATAAGATGAATAACATGATTTTAATCCCAGAGGATTTATGGAATTACTGCTCTCGGATGACATATGTTAATGCTATTTTAATCAGGTGATTTGCACCTTAAAGAATTTTAATTTACACCCTAATTAGAATATCTGTGTGCATGTGGGGAAGAGAAAAGAGATGCAGATACATTAGCAAAATCAGACAGACCTGCAACCACACTGATTAGTATGTCTCCTGTATTGTCACTGAAAAGTGTGATTATTCTATTCTAAATGTTACAGTGTGATGCTTAAAACGTTAGGTTACAATGAGAATAATTATGTTAGTCCATCTTAGTTGAAAAAATATATGATATGGACATGTCTATAAAATCACCAGGAGAAGGAGAAGAAACTTCACTTTTCATTTTTACACAGCTATTATTTTGTTCTCTCTCTCTCTCTCTCTCTCTCTCTCTCCCTCCCTCCTCCCTCCCGATTTATATCTATCTATCTATCTATCTATCTATCTATCTATCTATCTATCTATCTATCTATCTATCTATCCATCCATCCATCCACCCACCCACCTACCTACCTACCTACCTACCTACCTACCTAAAATAGTTGCCCATCTTTCAAAAGGTGATTCTGGGCGATGCATAATGAGTAAAACTGCAGATATAGAATATATATGCAAATCATGTTAACAGTACATATTATAAAACAAGAGATACAGGCCTTAGGTGAAGGGGGAATAATAATAGCAATGGAGCTATCTAAGCACATCTTCAGTTCCTTGAGAGCCTCAGGCCCATTAACCTAACAAGATCTTGAGGGCCTTCTGGCTGGCTGGGGAATTCTGGGAGTTGAAGTCCACTGTCTTAGTTGCCAAGGTTGGGAACCCCTGAACTAGGATATTTAATAATAACATACTACTAGGCTTTTTAAAACCGAAAATGAAAGAAGGGCGATCCAGAAGAATTAAAACAGTGGTTCTCAACCTTTCTAATGCCGCGACCCCATAATACAGTTCCCCATGTTGTGGTGACCCCCAACCACTTATACATCACCGGGTGCCAGGGGCATGGCCCAAAAAAAGGGGGGAAAAATGGCGGACAGCCTTGTTTGGCAACCCCCGTGAAATGGTCGTTCGACCCCAAATGGGGTCCCAACCCACAGGTTGAGAACCACTGAATTAAAACAAATATAATAGGGGAGAAAGGGAAGTTCTGGTTTCCTATGAATTGAAGGTAATTATTTTTCGGACTGTCTGAGCCACCACCTTAACATTAAAGTTTTTTTTTAAAAAAAATCTTACTCAAAATATTTAGTAGGAAGCAAAGGAAGGATGGTTTGCCTGACTTTTAAGCTCTAGTTATTGGCTTATAGGTGTGATGATTTGAAGCCTTATCTGGGAACTCAGACATTTGGGCTGGGTACATATTTCTTTGCAACTTTTCCAAGTTTGAAAGAAACTCTGCCAGGATCACGTTCCTTCCACTGAGAATTTACATCTCTTGGCCCAGTTCCTGAGAGCATCACTGCATACCTTGGAAACAAAAGCTGGATGAGGCTGAAGCGATACCCCCTTGGAAACTAAGTCTGGTATTTTTTTGATGAGTTCAAGAATTCCGATTGGGGAATAAAAAGAAAAAAAGATTCTGACACTCAAACAAGCGCACACAAAATGAAATGCTTTTTTTAATGAGACAAAGTTCACCAGTTACCTCCATGAAAGTCGACATTTTAAAACTAAGACCCTGGAAGGATACACTGGGGTCTGCCTCTCTTCCACCATCATCAGTACTAACCTGGTGTTCTGAATGGACAATGGTTTGACTGGGATGGTATAAGGCAGTGGTGGCGAACCTATGGTACGCATGCCAGAGGGGGGCACTTGGAGCTCTCTCTCTGGGCACGCACGCCTTGCTCTTTGGCTAAGTTTTCGCAGGAAAAAGCCATTTCTCAAGCCCCTTCCTAGCCAAAACAAGCCTCCGGAGCAAGCAGGCTGTTTTCAGCTTTGAATTATATCAAATCTGACACCAGAAACAGACTAACAGATGACCTGAGTGCTGCATGTGTTGCTCTCAAACTTACAAAGTATAAGCCAAGGTTAGACAAATTATCAGCATGCATACAACAGCAAAAATCACATTAATTGTTCAAAAGCATGCCAAATGCAAGCTTTTTCCTTTCAGTAAAAAGTTGCTTGTATCATTGAAAGCTTCGTTATTGTGTTTTTCTTTTAAGACAAAAGATGTTAATGTACAAGTTGTTTTTTTCTAAACTAAAACCTCAGTATTCAGATTAAATTGCTGTGTTGGCACTTTGCGATAAATAAGTGGGTTTGGGGTTGTAGTTTGGGCACTCGGTCTCTAAAAGGTTCGCCACCACAGGTATAAGGTCTCCTGCTTTTAGCAGGGGGTTGGATTGGAAGACCTCCAAGGTCCGTTCTGGTGCTATGATTCCATTTTTCTGTGCCTCTGATAGGAGTTTTGAAGCCGATTGCTTGTCCATGACCTGTCTTGCATTGGGTTTCATTTCTTTTGGCCTTATAACCATTGCAAATTTCCCTCACTGTGTAGCTGCAAGCTGGCCCCTACTTTGAATGCAGCTTTGCCTCCTCTACCCATCTGTTCTGCCCTGCCTGACACCCTCAAAAGTGCTTGGACCACAACACAACACTCGTAGGTCTCACACAATGCTGATCGTAGAAGGCGCTAGGAAGGGAAAGGCTATTGTATATGATAACAGAATGACAGAATAACAGAGATGGAAGGGACCTTGGAGGTCTTCTAGTCCATCTCCCTGCTCTAGCAGGAGACCCTATACCAGGGGTAGGCAACCTTGGCTCTTTTATGACTCGTGGACTTCAACTCCCAGAATTCCTGAGCCAGCCATGCTGAGGGGAAAGAGAGAGGTTTCCAAGCTGAGCCATGCTGGCTCAGGAATTCTGGGAGTTCAAGTCCACGAGTCATAAAAGAGCCAAGGCTGCCTACCCCTGCCCTATACCTTTCCAGCCAAGTGATTGTCCAGTCTCTATTTAAAAGCCTCCAGTGATGGAGGCTTTTATTCATATGTTTTAGCCTTCAGTCCCCTAATCATCTTCGTTGCTCTTCTCTGCACTCTTTCTAAAAGAGTCTCAATATCGAGAAATAGATGCCTAATGCAGAGGATGGGATTCCTATCCTTTCAAAGGCCACTGCAAGCAACAAAAATAGATCTACTGGCTGAAAGGGAAGCTGGGTTATGGAAACCTGCCTGGCACAGAAAAAAAAGCCAGAATCAGACTGAAAAGAGAAATTTAAAATTGTGTAATGGATTAAAAGGCAATGTTGGATTTATGGACTGTTTTAAGGATTAAAATTTAGAGTTAGAAGTAAAAAAAATATAGGAGGGTGATTATTAGACTAGATATTTTAAATAGATTAAGAATGTACCTTTTGGAATAATAGATTTATTTCGATGAAAATTATTATGCATTGGAACTGAAAAAATGTTGAATTTTTAGATTTGGATGGTTTCAATAATTAACTGAGTGTTTTAAATTAGTAAAATGACCTTTCTGTATGATAACATACATGTGATTAGGCATGATAATCAATTGGATGAAATTTGAATTTTGTTTAATGAATTGAAATGATTTAAGGTTTAACATTATTTTGTTATCCTAAAGAGATTGATCAACTGTGGGATTATATGTGTATAGGGTAGATTAATAGTTTATTTTAATTAGGATATCTATTGTGTAGTGGAAGAAGAAATAAATGAGATTGGTGATAAAATGAGGGATGTGAGAGATTAAGAATTAGAATATATCTGGAAGGGATACCTGAATTGATAACTTGCTGATTTAAAGTTAAATTTGATTATGGTAATTGTAAACTGACAAAGTTTCAAAACAGGCTTAGCAGTAATAGAAATTTAAATTAGAAATGGAATATTTTTAACATATTATGCTATTTGAGGGAGATAGAGAGGGAACAGTGAATGCAATGAGTTGAGTTGTTTATATATGTTTTCACTTTTGAATGTTTGATTACCCAAACACCACGGTGTGTCCTGAGTACTTTTTCTTAAGAATTAAAAAACTAATAAAATGTTTTTTTAAAAAATAAATAAAAGTATCTCAATATCATTTTTATATCACAGGGACCAAAACTGGATGCAGTATTCCAGGTGTGGTCTTACTAAGGTTTATAAAGCAGTATTAATACTTCAAGTGATCTTGATTCTACCCCTCTGGTAATGCAGCCTAGGACTGTGTTGGCGTGATCATCTCACTGCCTCTTCAATATCTTTCTTACAACCAAGCAGAATCAGAACGACAGAGCTGGCCTCCTTATGGGAAGCCAACATCATAAAGACAAAACAAATCCAAATGAAATAGGCTTTGGAAAAGAAAAAAAAAGACTCAAAGCAATAATGACAAATAATACAAACCTTTCCTTTGACCATTACCCGGACATAAGTAGGCTGTACATCAACATTAAGGAAGGAGATGTCCAAATGTCTGAAAGAGAAGAAGGAAGGAGATCGTTTAGCTTAGCATCTCTCTGTTCCCCGAGGTCCCATCAAAAGCAGAGTGATGGACATGTACATAGTTCAAAAGATTTGTGTGTCACCTGCATCCAATAGCCCCTTTTATTTAATGCAAATTATTATTATTTTTTCTTTTTCTTCTTCGGGCTGTGAACGAAAAGCCAAATCAAAATCAACAGCCTCCCTAAACAATCTCAGAAAAAGAGCCCATTAAAACAAAACCTTCTGACCTGTAAACAGCAAGATCCAAAATGAACCGGTTTTTTTTGTCGTCTTCTTCCAAGGAGAAAGGAAGCCTAGCAATAAATAGCAGCAAGATCTGGGCGTTACAGACTGGACTGGATGAAGGGCAGAGTCAAAACTTCAATTGATTGTGGTTTTGTATTCAAGAGGGGGCAATATAGCGGTTAGCAAGATACACATCCTTCCCCAAGTAGGTTTGCAAAATATAAAAACCTGATAATGTTAAAAGTCCGGGGCTGTTTTAAAGTTGAAGCATGATGGGATAAATGACACAAGGTCCATGTAATTCAAAGCTACACATTTGTGCTGAAAGAGAGACATCTACTGGCAAAAAAAACCCTAATTAAGTTAACATTAAATTAAAAACTAATTATTATCCATGCATGTTATCATTCTCTCTCCCTTTCTATGTCTCTCTGTGTGTGTTAGTTTCCAGACAAAAGCTGTGTTGTCTTACATCACCAGCTACAAGGGAGGAAATTTAAGAGTTCCTATTTTTTTAAAAAAAAAACGTAATGATCCATTTCAATTTTCAGAATTTACCTTATTCCTTTAAGTATCTAAAAAGAACACTTTAGGCATAACAAATAAGTACATTTTTTTCCTCACGCTAATTTACCCTCATTTTCCACTTATTTGATTGGTGGGTTTCCCCGTGTCGCTCTGGTGTTTTAAAATGTATTTATCTCTTTATTTCTAATTCGGGAGAAGCAACTGTTTCAAATTCATCATAGCCTTGCAGCTCCTGTTTCCCTTCTGAAAGCCTCAGAAGCTACAACAGGAAATCAGGGTTTGGTGCTTCACACCAAAATCTGTCCTCGGTACAAATCCATTCACAGTTTCTATCCATTAAAAATGTCAGTCTCACACTGCCGGTGACATTTTCACAAGTATCCCTAGGAGCCCCTGGAGGGACAGGAAGGTGAATTGAGGCCTCCTTCCCAAACGGTGCTTTGTTGTTGTTAGTTGCGAAGTTGTATCCAACAGATAAATTAAAAAAAAAAATGTTTGGAATAGAGTTAAAGGATTAGATGATCGGATTTATTAAACGGAACATCAAAAGATTAAACCTACGCTTAATTATGGTTAAAAAGAACAGAAAAAAATTGGAAATGAAAAAAAAATGGATTATTCTCCTTCTGAACTTGAGGTCAGTCCCCACACTCCTGGCCTTCCGGAAGACCTTTAAAACCTCGCTCTGCCAATTGGCTTGAGGTCCCGGTGGGGTTGTACTATGCTGAAGGGGGAGCTGAGTGAGAGGCAAAAGTCCCTCCCCGTATTGTCCATGCTCTTGGTTTTAACCTTTTATTTAACTGTTTTTAATTTTAATGCTTTTCATGTTTTTACGGTTTTGAAGAATGTGGTGGCCTAATGGAGAAGATGCTCGCCTTCCATTCGGAAGGTTGAGAGTTCAATCCTAGGTAGTGGCAGATATTTCTCTCCTAGGGTATAGAGAAAAAAAATGTCTGCTGTGAACTTTGCATAGGCATTAGGAAGGGCATCCGGCCAGTAAATGCTCAGCTCCATCCCATCTCCCCCAACCATCCAGTTTTGGTCACCACGATGTAAAAAAGATGTTGAGACTCTAGAAAGAGTACAGAGAAGAGCAATAAAGATGATCCGGGGACTGGAGGCTAAAGCATATAAGGAAAGGCCGCTGGAATTGGGGATGTTTAGTTTAATGAAGAGAAGGACGAGGGGGGACATGATAGCAGTTTTCCAATATCTCAGGGGCTGCCACAAAGAAGAGGGAGTCAAGCTATTCTCCAAAGCACCTGAAGGAAGGACAAGAAACAATGGATGGAAACTCATCAAGGAGAGAAGCAACCTAGAACTAAGGAGAAACTTCCTGACAGTGAGAACAATTAACCAGTAGAACAACCTGCCTCCAGAACCAGTGAATGCTCCAACACTGAAAGTTTTTAAGAAGAGATTGGACAGCCATTTGTCTGAAATGGTATAGGGTTTCCTGCCTGAGCAGGGAGTTGGACTAGATGACCTCCAAGGTCCCTTCCAACTTTATATTATTACGGATCATCGCACAGTCAGCCAGATGTTCAGACTGGATTTGGCATTTTGTCTACCTATTGAGTCCTTACCCAGGACCTGGGATGATGATGATGATGATTAACTCTACCCTGAATTCAGGGATTATTGGGCTCCAAAAAGGGAGACGTCTATGGTTTTATACTATTTTTCAGCCGTACAGTCACTTGACCCAGTGAAATAGGCGGCATATACATTGAATAAATAAGTCAGTAAATAAATATATTTACATGTGATGTGAATCACCTTTTGCCCTTTGAACCCAGATTACTTCACAGGCCTTTTAGTTTTAATAATTAATTTGGGCTATGTGAAAAACAGAATGGAGGAAAGCAACATTTATCTAATTTGAATTTTAAGGAAAAGGGAAGCCTATGTGTGGAGTTCAGTAGCACAGAGGACTGAACACCACAATCAAGGGAGCGGTCAAGGGCATCTCATCAAGGTGGTCCGGGGTACGTCCTCAAAGTCCTGCCTCTTGAACCTGTGTGAAAATTTGTCACACATATACAAAAGGGTTAAGGCTTTGATCATACATCTTGACATTTTGGGCTTCTGTTCCCACAGGGCAGATTCTGAAACAAAGGGCTGATATCTAAACCTGGGGAGGAAATTGGAAAAAAAAAGTCATATTTTCCTCCTCATTTAGCCTACGAAAGGAAGTGGGTCGCCTGCCCTTTATTTAACCCAGTGGTTCTCAACCTTTTTAATGCCGCGACCCAACCGGTCGTAAGTCGAGGACTACTCAACCGGTCGTAAGTCGAGGACTACTCAACTGGTGCAGCACCGTTTGCAGAATGGGACTTTTGGCGGTCTCAGCAGGGCAGAGACAGCCTGGACAATTCCTATTGGCTTTTGAAAGCCAATAGAATTAGACTCTATTCAAGAGAGTCTATTCTATTGGCTTTCAAAAGCCAATAGAATAAAAGGGAGTAGCACAGCTAAGGAAAAGGGGGAAAAAATGGCGGCCTGCGTTGTTTGGCGACCCCCGTGAAATGGTCATTCGACCCCAAACGGGGTCCCGACCCACAGGTTGAGAACCACTGATTTAAGCAATCTGGGTGCTCAAAATGGTTCATGAATTGTTTATCTCTTTTTACATACTTGGCTTCATTTACGTTTAAAACTCTTCCTTCTGGGGTGATCAAAGTCCTCAGAGGTTTCTCTTTGTTGCCTTGTTCTCTGTTAAAAAAAAAAAAGGTTGTTGTTGTTTTGCTTTGATACATTTTGTGCTTTTATTCCTTCCACAAAGTAGCAAAGACAGCAACAGAAAGATGACAAAGCCTTCATTTTAAGACACACAAAAACATCCCATTTGCTTTAATGTATTTGACAGAATGCTTATTTTAGGAAAGCAAATCAAGTATAATCAATACAAGGGGAATGGCTCCTTCAGCTTATTTGATCCTTGGGTACCAAATTCCTATCTAATTCCTATCTGTTTGCTTATCTCTTGCAACACCTCTCTAATGTTTGTTACTCTAGAGGTATAGTTTTAATTTATTTCTAAAATAATCAGCCTGTTTGAGATCTTGTTTTTACAATATTCAGGTTATTACGAAAAACACAATAAAATATAATCAGCAAACCTTGTTCTACAGATGTTATTGTTATGATTGGTCCCCAGATTGATTCTAATGTTACTGGACAATTAGAAAACAATGGCCTCCAGAAATGGTATGTTTCTGCTTTGTGGGATCCATTTTAATCTTTAATGAAATCAAATATTGATGCAACTGAAGTTTGGCCCTTAACAGAACTGAAGCTAAACTAAGGCTTAATAGATTATATCAGTGTTTCTCAACCTTGACAATTTTAAGGCACATGGACTTCAACTCCCAGAATTCCACAGCCAGCAATGCTGGCTGTGGAATTCTGAGAGTTGAAGTCCATATGCCTTAAAATTGTCAAGGTTGAGAAACACTGGGTTATATGAATCTAGTCAACTGCACCAAACCATAATTGAACAACTTAGTACAAGCTACAAATTCAGTCATTAATGGCAGCCATTTCAGGGAAGATTTTAGATAAGGCTTTGGGCAATGTGGCTTTGCAGCACTTCACAATCACCCTGCCTCTCATGAAATAAACATTAAAATAAGACATTGGATTAGATCTGTCTGTCTGTCTATGTCATATATAAAAATTATGCATACTTATTTTCTCTTTCTTTCCTTTTCTCTTCAAGATACTGGTGAATTTCTAGCCTAGCCTCTGGGGTATGAGGCACAGGTTCATCCCAAAAGTCACGGTCTTCATCGTCGTCCTCAAGTATTAATTTACGAAATTCATCTCCTTCTTCAGAATTTCGGTGGTTCTCTGCTCCTTCTACAGAGTAGTAGCTGGAATGTAATGTGCAAAAGAAAATCTTGCGACACTTATTGATCCACTTCAATCCTGCTCTCCAGCCACATATCTAGACCAGTTGGAGAGCAGCCCGGCCTTCTGACCCTACCCTACCGGCTCCGTTTGAACGAATGAGGAATTAAGTCTGTTGCAAAGCAAAGCATCAATTTCCAGCATGACTTCTGTTTGCAAGAATGACTCTGGACTCCACAAATAATGTTCTAATAAAACAAAAACAAAGCATCTGGGTGCTTTGTTTGGAAATGGGCCTCCTTGCCCAGAAACTGTGCAGCAGGAAGGCAAAGTTGAGCTACAGTGATGGTGGTGGCTAGGTTCTAGCTGTGACACTGTAGCCATGAGCTGCAGTGATGGTGGTAGCTAGGTTCTAGCCGTGACACTCTAGCCATGAGCTACAGTGATGGTGGTGGCTAGGTTCTAGCCGTGACACTCCAGCCATGAGCTACAGTGATGGTGGTGGCTAAGTTCTAGCCGTGACACTCTAGCCATGAGCTACAGTGATGGTGGTGGCTAAGTTCTGGCCGTGACACTCTAGCCATGAGCTACAGTGATGGTGGTGGCTAAGTTCTAGCCGTGACACTCTAGCCATGAGCTACAGTGATGGTGGTGGCTAAGTTCTAGCCGTGACACTCTAGCCATGAGCTACAGTGATGGTGGTGGCTAGGTTCTAGCCGTGACACTGTAGCCATGAGCTACAGTGATGGTGGTGGCTAAGTTCTAGCCGTGACACTCTAGCCATGAGCTACAGTGATGGTGGTGGCTAAGTTCTAGCCGTGACACTCTAGCCATGAGCTACAGTGATGGTGGTGGCTAAGTTCTAGCCGTGACACTCTAGCCATGAGCTACAGTGATGGTGGTGGTGGCTAAGTTCTGGCCGTGACACTCTAGCCATGAGCTACAGTGATGGTGGTGGCTAAGTTCTAGCCGTGACACTCTAGCCATGAGCTACAGTGATGGTGGTGGCTAAGTTCTAGCCGTGACACTCTAGCCATGAGCTACAGTGATGGTGGTGGCTAGGTTCTAGCCGTGACACTCTAGCCATGAGCTACAGTGATGGTGGTGGCTGAGTTCTAGTCATGACAGAAGAGAACATTTTCTTTCATCCAACCTGAGCCATTTTTCTGATAGCTCAGACATCTCCATATCAGCTATCCTGAGAGAGGGCTTGCAGCCGGCTTCCAAAATTCCAAATTATCTCCCAAGTGCAAACACGTAAGGCCATATACAAGCAAGAGCTTATTATAATACAGGTAGTCCTCAACTTACAACAGTTCATTTAGTGATCGTTCAAAGTTACAACCTCCTTGAAAAAAGTGACTTATGACCGTTTTTCACACTTATGATCCCCAGGTTCATGTGATCCAAACTTGGATGCTTGGCAAGTGGTTCGTATTTATGACAGATTGCAGTGTCCCAGGGTGTGTGTCATGTGATCATTTTTTACAACCTTCTGACAAACAAACTCAATGGGGAAGCCAGATTCATTTCGCAACTCTGTAACTAACTCAACCACTGTAGTGATTCACTTAACAAGTGTGGCAAGAAAAGCCGTAAAGTGGGGCAAACCTCACTTAATTGTCTCACTTAGCAACAGAAATATTGGGCTCACAGACGACCTGTATCGAAAATTTAATTTCATACTTAATTTAATGTTCGTGATAGGTGATTTATTCTCCGCTGCTAGGTATTTTAATTTTGCTATTTATTTTTACCTTTGTTCACCGGTCAGAATCGCTTGGTGACCTGAGCGGCCATACAAATTAAATAACTGAAGATTGAATAAATAAGATAAATATATTCCTACTCAGTTTTTTTTCGGCCCCAGATGAGCTACAGAGGCACCTACGTGGGCGTCTTGATATCTGCGCATGATTGTTTATCAAACCCCGGATACTGTCCTTTCTTCTTCTTCTTCTCCTTCCTTTCCTTCTGTTTTTCTAGCATCCATCTTTCTGCCTCTTTTTTTTCTTCTTCTCTTTTCAGGAGATAGTTTTGTTCCTGTTCCTGGATTTTTCTTTCTAGCGCAGGGTAGTTCTGTACAGCCTGAATCCTTTCTGACCGTGTTATCTCTTTGCAATCCAAAAACTTGAAAGGGGGGAGAGAGAGAGAGAAAGAGAAAGTGATATTTCAATATACTGCACAAGAAATCTATCCCTCTTTGTTTTTTATGAGATTGTTCTTTTTATTACATTTGAATGAATAAATTGATTAAACTCCAATTTCCTCTAGCTCAAATTATCATAAAAATCACATGCGCTGCAAGGATGGAGAGCTTTTTCTAAAAGAAATATTATGTGATAAAAAGAGCCAGGACAATGTTCACTGATGCTTTGCATGGAAGCGTGAACGGTATTTTCACACAATTTTAGGAATAAATTGTCAAGCAAATGTACCCCCCCCCCCATGATTCTTTCCTTAGTTACACATTCTTAAAAAGGTGTAGGAAAAATAAAACCTGAGACATATTATTCTCAGGAGACACCCAAACCTCTTTTTAGTGGAATTCATTAGGTAGGGCCTACCAAAATTTAAGAGTGAATCATCAAATCTTGAGGCATGAGTTCCCATTCCCAGAAAAAGACAAAATTCCTAAAACAGTGTGGAAATATTGTTCCTGCCTACTTGCATGACGTAACCGAGTACAGATAGTCTTTGACTTACAACCTTTTGTTTAGTGATCGCTCTAAGTTACAGCAGTGCTGAAAAAAGTGACGTATGACCATTTTTCACACTTACAACCGTTGCAGCACCTCTGTGGTCACGTGATCAAAATTCAACCACTTGGCAACTGGCTCATACTTATGACCGTTGCCATGTCCCGGGGTCATATGATCCCCTTTTGCGATCTTCTGACAAGCAAAGTCAATGGGGAAGCCAGATTCACTTAATGATCATGTTACTAATTTTACAACTGCACCAATTCAGTTAACAATTGTGGCAGGGAAGGTCGTAAAATGGAGCCAAACTCACTTAACAAAGGTCTCGCTTAGCAACAGAATATTTTTTTTATAAAGTTTTGTTTTATTTTAACAGAATTCAATAGTAATCATTCAACAAAACGGGTTGTCTGAGTATCATATTTACCAATAAAAATTAAATTCCTAATCTCTAAATCTTTTCTCTAACCATTGATAAAATAGGTCCCATGTTTGAAAATGTTCTATGTCTTCTTTTTCTTTCAACCTTAAAGTAAGTCTGTCCTTTTCCGCATAGTCCGGTATTTTTTTTTTTAATTATTTCTTCTTCTGGTGGTGTTTCTTCGCTCTTCCAGTATTGTGCAAATATAATTCTTGCTGCTGTTATCACATGTAAAATCAAGTATGCTTAGCAACAGGAAATTGCGGCTCACTTGTGCTCATAAGTCGAGGACTACCTGTATAATCCTATTGACGCTTAATCCTTTAATTCAAAAGTTGCCCAACCTGCATGAGCTTCTGCATATACCAGCTGCCTCTCTCATTAGGAATGTTTGTGGCTGGTAAGATCTGCAGGAGAGGAGCAATGGTTGGTAGGCATGACAAGATTTTTCTCCTGCCTCGCTCTACCATGGCAACTTTTAAGACTTAATAATAATAAGGTTGGAAGGGACCTTGGAGGTCATCTAATCCAACCCCCTGCTCAGGCAGGAAACCCTATACCATTTCAGACAAATAGCTGTCTAGTCTCTTCTTAAAAACTTCCAGTGTTCGAGCATTTACAGCTTCTGGAGGCAGGTTGTTCCATTGGTTAATTGTTCTCACTGTCAGGAAGTTTCTCCTTAGTTCTAAGTTGCTTCTCTCCTTGATCAGTTTCCATCCGCTGCTTCTTGTCCTGCCCTCAGGCGCTTTGGAGAATAGCTTGACTCCCTTTTCTTTGTGGCAGCCCCTGAGATACTGGAACGCTGCTATCATATCCCCCCTCATCCTTCTCTTCATTAAACTGGACATACCCAATTCCAGTAACCGTTCCTTATTATGTTTTAGCCTCCAGTTCCCTCATCATCTTTGTTGCTCTTCTCTGTACTCTTTCTAGAGTCTTGTGGACTTCAACTCCTAGAATTCCCCAGACTATACAAGCCTATACTTATCACAACAGCAATAAATCCTTTTAAGTAAAATGTAATAAATTCCTTAATAAAGGACCACAGCATAGTACGTTTTTTTTCTTATTTGATGTTACCTAACTGATTTTACTACTTTTTATAAAATACTTATCTATACGTTTGCATAAGAATGTTAAATTTCTCCCTTTGACAGAAAGGGGGGCTATTATTATTTAAATTTATTTATTTAAATTAAATTTTATTTTAATATAACCCACTAAATATAATAAGACAAACTCTGAGTTGATGTAGGGTAGCAACCACAAACTGCCTATAGCCTTCAAAATCAGTGCATGGATTTCCTACAAGGTAGAGCTCTTCAAGATGTATATTATTTTTCAGTATTTTGACACTGGACAATTCTCCAATGAAATTGGCCGTCAGGTCCAGCTTCTGCAGATCTTCACAACCTGTTTGAAAATTAAAAAGGACTTTTAAAATAGAATGATCAACTCCACATTTCATTAACAAACACATCTATCTCAGAGTCATCATACTGACCCTCTTCCTCATTCATCCTTTTCATGAAAGTAAATATCAGATGCTAAAAGGATGAGCAGCATTAATTTAAAAATGATTAAAATGTGTTTCCCAAGTCATAAAACATTTTCTCATAAAGCAGGAGATGTAAATGTCTAAACATTTATAAGTGCAAAAACGGAAAGTTGATTTACAATTTTCAGATTTCAAGACAATAACCATCAATAGTATTTGTATTATTATTGCACTGCAGCATATTATATTTTATTATGTAATTTTATATATTACTTTATAATCCTCCTTTATGCTCCGTAACCTGCCTAGAATCCTTTGGGATTTGGGTAGTCAGTGCATTTTATAAATTAACAATATGTGATCAGAAACAACAGCTTCTTCCCATCCTGTTTTTTTTTATGCCTATGAAATCAAAAATATTTGTTTCTGATTTTAAACACACTTGGAATACTGCATCCAGTTTTGGTCACCACGATTTAAAAAAGATGTTGAGACTCTAGAAAGAGTACAGAGAAGAGTAACAAAGATGATTAGGGGACTGGAGGCTAAAACATATAAGGAACAGTTGCTGGAATTGGGTATATCTAATTAAATGAAGAGAAGGACGAGGGGGGACATGATAGCAGTGTTCCAATATTTCAGGGGCTGCCACAAAGAAGAGTCAAGCTATTCTCCAAAGCACCTGAAGGCAGGACAAGAAGCAACAGATGGAAACCAATCAAGGAGAGAAGCAACCTAGAACTAAGGAGAAACTTCCTGACAGTTAGAACAATTAACCAGTGGAACAACCTGCCTCCAGAAGCGGTGAATGCTCCAACACTGGAAGTTTTTAAGAAGAGACTGGACAGCCATTTGTCCGAAATGGTATAGGGTTTTCTGCCTGAGCAGAGGGTTGGACTTGATGACCTCCAAGGTCCCTTCCAACTTTATTATTATTATTATGCAGGACATACACATTCAGAGTATGCTGGTTAACCAGATGTGCACAGAATCACTGGGAGTCACACAACATATAAATTAAATATAGTATTATTGTTTACTCAGTCAGCCAGATATTTAAACTGGATTTGGCATTTTTACCCAGCTATCGAGTCCTTCCCAAGGACCTGGGATATTATTACTATTATTACTGCTCTGGGACTGCAAGTGGTCTCTTAAAAGTTTGGGTTCACTCTCAAAATCATCATAAAACTGTATACAGGGTTACCTTGGTACTCGTTAATTGGTTCTGGCAATGAATACCAAACCATTTTTTCCCATAAGGAATAATGTAGCAAGTCACAAGGCAACTGACACCGACAATTCTAGACTGTGTGTCGAGTACCAAGCAAACAAGTACTAGGATAAAATGTTTGCGTCAAAATGCATTGAGTACCAAATTCAATGAGCTTCAAAGCAGTTGAGTAAGAAGGCACCAGTGTACGTGGATGTGACAGATAGAAAAATAAAGACACCACAACTGAGATGTGCTGACTTTGTGCAGAAACAGATGCACCTGTATTAAAAAGCATTGCCCAAAGAAACATTCTTTGAAGGGTAAATATCTTACCTTCCAAATTTTCAAATTTTTCAATGTTGTTTAAAGCCAGATTTAAATACTCAAGCTTTTTCAGTCGGCTCACGTTTTCTGAAATGCAATGATTGCACGTGTCAGTTTTGTAAGGATAGACTTAGCATTCCCAATGGTCCAGCAGTTAATCCTTTTTAAAAAAAGCATCCGAACAGAAATTGAAAACAGGAAAAAAGACGTCTTAAAATACCAGAAAGATTACTTGAGCAAAATGTTGAATTAATGGTGAATTAAATACACAAAATGTTTATGTTAGAAAAAGAAAAGCATGGCGTGAATTAAGGATCGTCTTATTCAAATGACATCTTACCCTACGGAAGGGATTTGAAGGATTAAGTTAAACGACCCAGTTCTTGCTTTTGAAAAAAATCTAAAGGATTGGTGACTGGATTAATTTGAATTAAAACACCGAGACTGTAACAGCATTGAAGGCAAGACAAAAGAACAACTAGCGGCATGGTGGACGGACTCAGTTACAGCAACGATAGATACACGTAGTGCCCAAATTACAGCCCTTCATACAGTCCCCATTTGAAGTTACAATGGCACTGAAAAAAGTGACCAGCTTTCACGTTTATGACCACTGAATGGTCTCTTGATCAAAATTCAGATACTCGGCAACTGATTCCTATGATGCTTGTAGTGTCCCAGGATCGTGTGATCTCCTTTTGCAACCTTCTGACAAGCAAAGTCAATAGGGAAGCCAGATTCACTTAACAACCGTGTTACTAATTTAACAACCGCAGTGATTCACTTAACAACTGTGGAAAGAAAAGTCGTAAAATGGGGCAAAACTCACTTAGCAACAGAAAATTTGGGCTCAACTGTCATTGTAAGTTGAGGACCACCTGTATGGTCCTAGAAGAGTTGGGGAGATGGATTGAAGACAGATCACCCTGGAGAACGTTATCTATGTGAACGCTAAACCCACACCAGCCTAAGGACACATAATCAATCAGTCAGTCAACTGATGAACCAAAGGTTTTTAAGGGTCATTCAGGACTCTGGGAACTTAGGCTGCTTGCCTGTCGTGGTCTAAGGCACAGGTCGGCAACCTGAGGCTCCCAGCCTCCTCTGCCATTTGCAGAGATAGACAGAGACATTTTGGGGCAGGGCTCCTCCCTTTGCTTCCTCTCTGCAGGAAGCAGGAAGGGCAGGAGAGAGCTAGCTAGCCCAGCTATGCTGACTCAGGAATTCTGGGAGTTGAAGTCCATGAGTCATAAAAGAACCAAGGTTGCCTACCTCTGAAGTAGCCCAATAACAATGTGTGTCAGCTTGTTGGAGAACAGCTTGAAGCCAGCTTGCCAGGTGAGCAGAAGATCGGAGAGAGGAAAAGGGGGGAGGAGAGAGAAAGAGAGAGGGAGAGGGAGAGGAAAGAGAGAGAGGGTGAAGAAAGAGAGGGAGAAGAAAGAGAGAAAGAGAGAAAGGGAAAGAGAAAAAGAGAGAGAGAGGGAGGGAGGGAGAGAGGAAAGAGAGAGAGAGGAAAGAGAGAGGGAGGGAGGGAAGTAGAGAGAGACCCTTTTGACATCTAAAATGAAGATAACACTGCATATATTCTTTTTTTACCTTTATAAGATATAGATAGATAGATAGATAGATAGATAGAAAGGATATATGCAGTGTTATCTTCATTTTAGATATCAAAAGGGTTTTGCGGCTCCCAGTGTTTTGTTTTCGGTGGGAAATGGGTCCAAGTGGCTCTTTGAGTGTTTGGGTTGCCTACCCCTGGTATAAGATCTCCAGCCTTGAGCAGAGGGTTGGACTAGAAGACCACTGGGGTCCCTTCCAACTCTATGATTCTATATTCTATGTCTGTATGATGGAGGCATTAGCAGTAAAGGCTTGGACTACTTTCTCCATTTTTAAAATATTTCCCCCCCTTAAGTTATTCTTAAGGAAGTCATCCTTTTCATTGCCAAATCACTACAGCAATTCCCTTCGCAGACAAATATACCGACCAATTTTGGAGATCAAGTTGTTTTGGAGATAGAGAATTTTTAAATTTCGGCACCATTTGTCCAGATGTTCAATTTTCTCTATGTTCTGTTGATGCAGGGAAACTTCTTCCAAAGAGAATAGTTCACAGTTGTTATGTTCTGCCCGTTGTCTAATCAATTCTTCTGTGACTGAAATACATATCATAAAAAAGAGAATCAATTTTTTTCTATAGAACAGAAAAGGTGCAAATCGTTCTTTGGAAATAGACTAAAAATTCATTCATTCATTCATTCATTCATTCATTCATTCATTCATTCAGATATATACAGGAGCTTCATGAAAGCAAATGGAATTTAAAAAAACCCAGAACTATAAGAATGGCAAATGTCTTGTAACATATGGCTCAGACAAATTAACTGTGTGTTTTGATTGGTGTTGCCTATTGTGTTCCATCAAATGCATGCTGTTGAGAAATGGATCTTATCAGAGCAAAGATTTTCCTTGGCAAATGAAGAATAAATGACCCAGAGGAATAATCTCACTCACATTTTAAAAAGGCACTAATGAACTTTCAATACTTCATTATTTTACAATGAATACTTTTTATTCAGAGAAAAGTTCAGCCTTCTATTCATCGATAAAAGAAAATGGCAGAAGGCATGTAGAGCAGCAGTCCCCCAACCCTTTCGGCACCAGGGACTAATTTCCTGGAAGACAATTTTTACATGGGTGGGGGAGGGAGATGGTTTCAGTTTTATTCGTTTACCCACTGCTCACCTCCAGCTGTGCGGCCCAGGTCCTAATGGGCCATGGTACCAGTCTGTGGCCTGGGGATTGGGGACCCCTGGTTTAGAGGGAAAATCTCCCCCACCCAAAATATATAATGTTCATCCATCCCACTAAACCCATAAGGAATTTTAAGTGACTCAGAATGTGAAATTTCACCCAGATTCCTCTGTTATCCATGTTTCTTTGAAAGATTATCACTCCCTGAAATCAGACATATTTTAGAAAACTCCTTCATGGATTACTGCCTTGGAAGAGCAGAGGGCTAGTATTAGTAGCGCCAGAAAGAATGAAGCGACTGGGCCAAAGCCGAAAGGACGCTCAGCTGTGGATGCATCTGGTGGTGAAAGGAAAGTCCGATGCTGTAAAGATCTTTTCTCCAAAGGAACCTGGGATGTAAGATCCATGAATCAAAGCAAGCTAGACGTGGTCAAACAAGAGATGACAAGACTCACTGGAGAAAAGCCTAATGCTGGGAAAGATTGAGGGCAATAGAAGAAGGGGACGACAGAGAATGAGGTGGCTGGCTGGAGTCACTGAAGCAGTAGGTGTGAGCTTAAATGGACTCCAGAAGATGGTAGAGGACAGGAAGGCCTGGAGCAGTAATTCTCAACCTGTGGGTCGGGACCCCATTTGGGGTCAACGACCATTTCACGGGGGTCGCCAAACAACGCAGTCCGCCATTTTTTCCCCCTTTTCCTTAGCTGTGCTACTCCCTTTTATTCTATTGGCTTTTGAAAGCCAATAGAATAGACTCTCTTGAATAGAGTCTAATTCTATTGGCTTTCAAAAGCCAATAGGAATTGTCCAGGCTGTCTCTGCCCTGCTGAGCCCGCCAAAAGTCCCATTCTGCAAACGGTGCTGCACCAGTTGAGTAGTCCTCAACTTACGAACGGTTGAGTAGTCCTCGACTTACGACCAGTTGGGGGTCGCGGCATTAAAAAGGTTGAGAACCACTGGCCTGGAGGAACATTGTCCATGGGGTCGCAATAGGTTGGACACGACTTCGCAACTAACAACAACAACAAATTTTAGAAAACCTGAATTTTCAATATAATTATTCATGTGAAACATATACTATTATCAGATAGTATGTGGAATAAATCCTTCTTGATGATGGTATTAAAAAGATAAAAGAGTTTACAGGCAAGAACCCTGGAGAGGAGATTCACCCCACAGGGATATAGACCAATCCTTGGTGGTTGGCTCCTCTCACCCTATCCAGCCCACCTTGCAAGGCTGTGGTTGTTCAGGGGGAAACCATGTAGACCAGTGGTTCTCAACCTTTTTAATGCCGTGACCCCCAACCGGTCGTAAGTCGAGGACTACTCAACTGCTGCAGCACCGTTTGCAGAATGGGTCTTTTGGCGGGCTCAGCAGGGCAGAGACAGCCTGGACAATTCCTCTTGGCTTTTGAAAGCCAATAGAATTAGACTCTATTCAAGAGAGTCTATTCTATTGGCTTTCAAAAGCCAATAGAATAAAAGGGAGCAGCACAGCTAAGGAAAAGGGGGAAAAAATGGCGGACTGCGTTGTTTGGCGACCCCCGTGAAATGGTCATTCGACCCCAAATGGGTCCCAACCCACAGGTTGAGAACCACTGATGTAGACTGGCAAGGAGAGGAAACAGGGAGGGGAATTGAATGGAGAGAGAGATTTAAAAATATGCATAACATTATTTATCCAGTCAAACTTTCTAATTTGATTTATATCATTAAATTCATAATATCTGATACTTAACCTACATTTACTTTATGCTGCATTTAATACAGTTCATATTTAAGTGAGTTATTTTGTATGTTTTGTTTTTATTTTTTTTACCTAATTAAACTTTGCAACTTGATTTATATTAAATTCCTATTTGATATTCAACTTATAAATTTAATTTATATTACATTTAATATAAAGTGTTTAGTTAATATTTAAGTGAATTATTTTGAATATTTTATTTTTATTGTACTTTTATACATTTATATAAATATAAAAGATACTATATATTATGCAGTGCATACATATGTATCAATGCGTGCACATTTATATTTCACAAAAATTACATATTATATAAATAAAAGTTATTTATATATTCATATTTATATAATAAATTACATATTTATATCAAATAAATTGGTAAAATTATATCTATATACAAATATAGATAAATACACACATACATACATACACACATTTCTATTTACTATTTAGGGGATGGGGCTGATGGGAGTTGTGATCCAACCACTACACCCTGCAGGTGCCAGGAGTGAGGGAGCCTCGTTCGAAAGACAGCTGCTTTGTCTTTCTTTCCTGGGACGGGGGCGCGGCGGACAACAAAGCCCATCACAGCGTGGCCGATGGGAGTTGTCGTCCGCCCTTTCTGGACGAGGCCGGCTTGCAAGAGGCGCCTTGGGGGAACTCCGGAAGCCCCGCGTTCCACACGCGGAGCTTCCCCCACGCCACCGCGACCGAGGAGCGGCTACTCACGCCGCACCATGCTCCCCGCCGTCCTCGCCTCCCTCGGCCGCTACTGCAGGCCGCTTGGAGAGGACGCCGCTTTGCGGTCGCCACGGCAACCAGACCAGGCGTGGCCGCGTACGCCGCTAGTCCCGCCCACCTCGGGCGGAGAAAGCGGCCCGAGAGATGAGACAAAGGACCCAATCTAACCCCAGTTCCGTTGCTGCAGCGAGCGCCGTTTTCTCTGAGTGGCTGTCACGACGCGGTGTTCTCTAGCTGGGAAGGACTCCAACTTCCATTATTCCCCCCGGCACCTGGAGAATGGGTAATGCAGTCAAAATAAAATAAAATAAAATAAAATAAAATAAAATAAAATATAAAATAAAACAAAATAAAATAAAATAAAATAAAATAATAAAATAAAATAATAATAAAATAAAATAATAAAATAAAATAAAATAAAATAAAAAATAATAAAATAAAATATAAAATAAAATAATAAAATAATAATAATAATAAAATAAAATATATAATATAATATAAAATAAAATAATAAAATAATAAAATAAAATAAAATAATAATAAAATAAATAAATAAAATAAAATAAATAAATAAATAAATTAAATATGTTTGGGCAGCAGCCGTTTGGAAAAGCCAAACCCTTTGCAGATAATCTTAAGGTGAAGAATTCTTCTCCCTCCTCCGACTTCTTTTTGGATGTGCGTGGAAAATAACATATAGGGAAGTCGCGTAGATACCGGAATTGTTTAAGCATCTGGGCGGCTAGTGTTTTCTATAGAGATAGGGACGGATTAGAAGCGGCCCTTTGCATTCAGCAATTATCTAGGGCGGGGGTCTTCAAACCTGGCCCTTTTATGAGTTTTGGACTTCAACTCCCAGAATTCCTCAGCCAGGCATGCCTGGCTATTTATAAAAATATTTATAATATTTTATAAAATTATTTATCAAAATCATAAAGGTGAAATAAAAATTAAAAAGCTGGGATAAAGCAATTTTGTCTCTGTGGCTGACTTACTAAGTTCTTTGGGAGTCACTCTTTAAGTTAGATATGTCTCAGATGCCACTGACTGGTGAATTGGCTGCTCCTATCTTTTTAATTTTTTTTAAAACAGTTACGCCAGTGCATAACTGGCCAATTCACAGAGTTGTTCTGGTTCAAAGTGTCTCACAGTCTACTTTTCAATGTTCCTTCTCCGTGTAACCTATGATGGAAGGTTGGGGCTCAGAATCTGCAGAGGTTATTTCAATCAACTACTAAATATAAAGGAAGATTTATACAACTCTTAAAAAGAATCTCACCAACAAGGGGAGGAAATTGTGCTGTGTTCCTTCTTGATATTCTAGTGCAGTGGTTCTCAACCTTTTTAATGCCGCGACCCCCAACCGGTCGTAAGTCGAGGACTACTCAACCGGTCGTAAGTCGAGGACTACTCAACTGGTGCAGCACCGTTTGCAGAATGGGACTTTTGGCGGGCTCAGCAGGGCAGAGACAGCCTGGACAATTCCTATTGGCTTTTGAAAGCCAATAGAATTAGACTCTATTCAAGAGAGTCTATTCTATTGGCTTTCAAAAGCCAATAGAATAAAAGGGAGTAGCACAGCTAAGGAAAAGGGGGGGAAATGGCAGACTGCGTTGTTTGGTGACCCCCGTGAAATGGTCGTTCGACCCCAAATGGGGTCCCGACCCACAGGTTGAGAACCACTGTTCTAGTGGGAGACTTTGACAGTCTGCTGAGTAGGACTTAGTGGGTGGCCAAAAGGGTTTCTGAAGTCCACCAAGAGACCATCAACACAAAGTGAGGCGTTGTCTGTACCTAAGTAGGACCCTTTGAGACTTCAAAGAAGCTGAAATCGTACTAGCAATTTCTGACCTGATCCAGGAGGATTGCCTGCTGTTGCTCACCTTCCTATCTGCTATTGGTAATTTTTTTCTACTGGAAGTCAAGACAGCCATATAGGAGGATCCTACTTTCAGTCTACCTTTCTGTGTTGCTCTTTTAGGTCCAGCTGGGTTTTCTTGAAAGTTCAGGGGAGAAAGCTGAGGTACCAAAATTGTGACAAAACAATAGGCCCAACAGGTAAGTAGCATCCTGTTTAGCCTTTGTAAAGGGCTGGGCTGTGTAGTTTCAGCTGTAGATAGAGGCTGATGGGACGCAATTGTCCTTTACAGGATACAGTCGCTTCTCCAATGCAGAAAAACAAGCTAAGCCGGTGACTACAAAGATCTACCAGGTGAGCATGGAACAATTTCTGGAGCAAAACTGTACACACCTGCAAAAATGAATCAAGCTCCTACAGCATATGGCATCAACCGCAATGACATATGGATGCCATTGCCACCTTCGTTTGGCCTCTGTCCTCCTGGGCTGGAATATTTAACCCAACTTGATTGGTTATTAATCCACCAGAAATATGAAATTCTGGAACTGATCACCTCTTTTGAAACGGCCAACAAGTACGAAGTGAGAAACAGGCTTGGAGAAATGGTGTATTTTGCCAGAGAAGAAAACAACTTCTGTGTGAGGAATTGCTTGGGGACTTTGCGGCCGTTTACCATGGTGATCTCTAACCACGTGGGACAACAGGTCATCCACCTCGTGCGGCCTTTCCGTTGCGACGGCTGCTGTTGCCCGTGCTGCTTGCAAGAACTGGAAATCCAGGCTCCACCAGGCTTACCCGTTGGCTACCTCCAGCAGCTGTGGCACCCCTTTCTGCCCAAATTTGTAATCCAGAACGAAGCCCACCGAGATGTCCTGAAAATCATTGGACCTTTCATCACATCTGCCTGCTTTGGCAATGTGGTATTTGAAGTGACGGCACTAGATGAAAAGACCAGCGTGGGAAAGATTTCTAAGCAGTGGGGAGGTGTTCTCCAGGAGTTTTTCACCGACGTGGATTTCCTTGGAATTTCGTTCCCAATAGACCTTGATGTTAAAATGAAAGCAGTGTTGCTTGGGGCTGGTTTCATCCTTGACTTCATTTTCTTTGAAAATGCTGGACGGTGTACTGTTTGGTGTTAGAAGCGTCCCTGTATTATAAAACCTTTAGAGAAAGACCTTGTGTTTACCTTTTTCCTTGGCTAAAACGGAGGGTCAGGTTTGCTTACTAGAGATTACTTTGGGATAACCAATATTAAAACTTACTTTTGATAATATTTGGTCTGTAAACCTTTCACGCACTTGTAGGAAAAGAACTCTTTCAGGACGTGACTGTATTTTAGTCACCCTTTCCAAAGGAAAGGAAATAAATTTCCTTTCTCTTACAATTTGGTTAAGAAACTTTGGAGGTTTCTTTTTAAGATTTCTTTCATTTGTTCATCGTACTTTTTTTGAGATCTTATGGAAGAGTGCATAGAAATAACAATAAGAACGTATTCCAATTGTTATGGTTATATTATATCTGGTGCAGCTGTAGGACTGAAATACTCCATCTTAAGAAAGTGATGTAGAAGGAAGAACACACTGCAATCTATGTTGACTGGAGTTATAGATAAATCTTTGGTATATTAAATACAGACAAATAGTCCCCAACTTATAATTGTTTGTTTAGTGACTGTTCAGGGTTATACAGTACTGAAAAAAGAGACTTACAACCAGTTCTCACACCTATGCCCATTGCAACGTCCCTGGGGTCATATGTTCCGAATTCAGACACTTGACAACAGCTGCAATGTCCCAGAGTCGTCTGATCATCATTTGCAACCTTCCCAGCTGGTTTCCAAAAAGTCATGGAGAAGCCAAATTTGCTTTAAAAACACGGTGGTCCATTTAACAGCTGCAATAAAGAAGCTCGTAAAATCAAATGCACAACAATTAATGAGTGCATGGAAGTTCTGCTCCCAATAGTGGTCATAAGATAAGGACAGCTTATAGAGAGAATTATAACATAATTAGGCAATAGTGGACAGTGCTATACTTTGTACCTTGGCATGACTGGAGGTTAAAACATATAAGGAGCGGTTGCTAGAATTGGGTATGTCTAGTTTAACGAAGAGAAGGACGAGGGGGGACATGATAGCAGTATTCCAATATCTCAGGGGCTGCCACAAAGAAGAGGGAGTCAAGCTATTTTCCAAAGCGGCTGAAGGCAGGACAAGAAGCAACGGGTGGAAACTAATCAAGGAGAGAAGCAACCTAGAACTAAGGAGAAACTTCCTGACAGTGAGAACAATTAATCAGTGGAACAGCCTGCCTCCAGAAGCAGTAAATGCTCCAACACTGGAAGTTTTTAAGAAGAGACTGGACAGCCATTTGTCCGAAATGATGTAGGGTTTCCTGCCTGAGCAGGGGGTTGGACTAGATGGCCTCCAAGGTCCCTTTCAACTTTACTACTATTACATAACCTACTCACGTCCACCTGGTGGAAAGGAGGAGGCAGACGTATCTCGTAGTATTGAACAAAACTTTACTCCTTACATTCTTCCACATGGCGCAACGGAAATATGAAAGGGCAGCACATTTGCTGTGATGTCATAATGCGGTTTTGCTTATTTGTCATCCTGATGGCCGATGTGAACGCATCTGGTTTTAGGGTTTCTATTATGACGGTGAAAAATGAGATTCAATAGCAATAGCAACAGCATTTTAGACTACTATACCACTTCGCAGGGCTTTACCCCCTTCGCTAAGTGGTTTACAGAGCAGCCTATTGCCTCCCCCCAACAATCTGGGTCCTCATTTTACCGACATCGGAAGGATGGAAGGCTGAGTCAACCTTGAGCTGGTGAGAATCGAACTGCCGAACTGCAGGCAGTCATCAGTCAGCAGAATTAGCCGGCACTACTGCATTCTAACCACTGCACCACTATGAAAAGTAATATTTCCTTCTCCATTTGTTCCTCAATTTCATTCCATTCAGATGTTTTAGCAGTTGAAACTGGAAAAATAATCCTTGGCATACCATTGTTTTGTAACCTGCATTTCGTTCTCTACCTAATCACTATCTTTCACTACACATTGCTGCGGACAATGAACATGCTACTTAAAGCCATCACCACACTTTGCCTCTTCAACCAGATCCAGATAGAACGGTGCTTTTCAACCTTGACAACGTTAAGCTGCGTGGACTTCAACTCCCAGGGACACTGCAACCGTCAGAAATATGAGCCAATTGCCAAGCACTGGAATTTGGATTCCGTGACCTTGGGGATGCTGCAACAGTCGTAAGTGTGAACAATGGTCATAATTCATTTTTTTGTAACTTTGAATGGCTACTAAATAAATGGTTGTAAGTTGAGGACTACCTGCATTTATTAAACTTGTAATCAACCTAATGATTTGTTCCTTTGGTTTTGGCATGCTACCTTTTGTGAGCCCAATGATTGTGGTTTGAAAGCTACGGTTTTTTAACAGAACATAGAATAGCAGAGTTGGAAGGGATCTTGGAGATCTTCTAGTCCAATCCCCTGCTCAGCAGCAACTGTTTGATCCCAACCATTCAAAATCCAAATTAACTGATGAGTTTATTTGCAAAAGAATGGGTACCCTGCTGCATTTTATTCTCTCTTTTTAACTTGGCTCAGCTCTGACCTTGAAATCGTATCTCTATTCATATTGGATGAACTTGAGTTTATTATTAGCTCGGGAATATATTCTTCACAAGGACAGCATCTGGCAGGATTTGTTTTTAGCCATACAATTTCATTAGGAAAATGGTCACAGTGATGGCAGACAAATGATGGCTTATATTACTCTTGAATTGCACTGCACTGCAAAATGACTCCTGTAAGAACATACACTGAATTTCTTAACTGGTAACTATACCAACAAGCCAGAAAGATCTCACTATGACGGGGGTCTTCGAACTTGGCCCTTTTATGACTTGTGGACTTCAACTCCCAGAATTCCTCAGCCAGGCATGCTGGCTGAGGAATTCTGGGAGATAATACTAATACTAATACTACTAATAATAATAATATTAATAATAATAAAGTTGGAAGGGACGGAGGTCATCGAGTCCAACCCCCTGCTCAGGCAGGAATCCTACACTATTTTGGACAAATGGCTGTCCAGTCTCTTCTTAAAAACTTCCAGTGTTGGAACATTCACCGCTTCTGGAGGCAGGTTGTTTCATTGGTTAATTGTTCTAACTGTCAGGAAATTTCTCTTTAGTTCTAGGTTGCTGCTCTCCTTGATTAGTTTCAATCCATTGCTTCTTGTCCTGCCTTCAGGTGCTTTGGAGAATAGCTTGACTCCCTCTTCTTTGTGGCAGCCCCTGAGATATTGGAATCCTGCTATCATGTCCCCCTCGTCCTTCTCTTCACTAAACTAGACATACCCAATTCCAGCAACCGTTCCTTATATGTTTTAGCCTCCAGTCCCCTAATCATCTTTGTTGCTCTTCTATGTACTCTTTCCAGAGTCTCAACATTTTTACATTGTGATGACCAAAACTGGATGCAGTATTCCAAATGTGGCCTTACCAAGGCATTGTAAAGTGGTATTAATACTTCACGTGATCTTGATTCTATCCCTCTGTTAATGCAGCCTAGCACTGTGTTGGCTTTTTTGGCAGCTGCAGCACATGGCTGGCTCATATTTAAGTGATTGTCCACTAGGACTCTGAGATCCCTCTCACAGTTACTACTATTGAGCAAGGTACCCCCTACTATACCTGTACATTTGGTTTTTCTTGCCTAAATGTAGAACCTTACTTTTTTCACCATTGAATTTCATTTTGTTAGATAGCACCCAGTGTTCAAGTCTGTCCAAGTCCTCCTGTATCCTAAGTCTGTCTTCTGGAGTGTTGGCTATTCCTGCCAGCTTGGTGTCATCCGCAAATTTGATGAGTTCCCCATCTATCCCCTCGTCCAAATCATTGATGAAGATGTTGAAGAGCACTGGGCCTAGAACATAAAAGGGCCAAGTTTGAAGACCTCTGGTGTAGAGGTTAAGGTGCTGGCCTGGAAACTAGGAGATGATGAATTCCTGCTTTAAGCATAAAAGATGGCTAAATGACTTTGGGTCCATCACAAGGTGGATGTGAGTCCTAGTACTGCTTTAGGCATGAAAGCTGAACTTTGGGCCAATCATCAGGAGACAGTGAGTTCTAAGCATGAAAGCAGGTTGGATGACTGGGCCAATCAATCTTTCTAAGCCCAACCCACCTCACAGCATTGTTGTGGGAAAATAGGAGCAGGAAAGAGCATTAAGTATGTTCACCACTTTGTGCTATTTATAAAAAACAATAAAGGTGGAATAAAAATAAAAAAAGTTGGGATAAAACAACTTTTTCTCTGTGGTTGACTTACTAAGTGCTTTGGGATTTATTGTTTAAGTTAGATAGGTCTCAAACGCCACTGACTGATGAGTTGGCTGGTCCTATCTTTTTAACTTTTAGGAACAATTATGCCAGTGCATAATTGGCCAATTCACAGAGTTGTTATGATTCCTAGTGTCTCACAATCCACTTGCCTGTGTTGCATCTCCATGTAACTGTTGAAAGAAAAGTCTTCATCATGGTGCAGTCCAAAACGGGAATAAGCAACATGGCGACTGCTTTAGAAAGAAGGTTGCAGTTTATTGAAGAGCCAGACAGAAAGATGGCTCTGGCAGGAAAGAGAAGAGAAAAGGGGCTGAGCACATGTAGGGAGTGGGTTTTTATACCCTCTGGAGCCTTTTGTTTGGAGTTGCTTCCTGTTCCTGTGGCATGAACTTTGACCTGAGTCTGAGTGTGCTTTTCTGGTATTCTGATGGTGATGGGTTAATCCTATTATGACTAACGGTCATATCCTGCTTCCCTGGGGCTGGGCTGATGACTCTTAGATTTTGGGTAGGGTATGTAGATTTTAGGTCTTTGTCTTCTTAATCTCCTAGCTCCCTGGATTTACATCTGCATTTCTACAGAGCTGATTTCTGCTTGGGGGAGGGAGACTTGGGGCTATCAAGAAAACTGGGCATGCTTTCCTGCCTCTTTAAGATCCTTGGAGGAAATATATTTTTCTGCCCTTTTAATATTTCTTTCTCGGGGGGGGGGGGGCTGACCTCCCACATAACCTATGATGGAAGACTTGGGCTCAAAATTCACACAACTTATTTAGATCAACTATTTTGTATAAAGGAAGATTTATACAACTCTTAAAAAGAATTTCACTGGTGTAGGAAACCCTGCCCCTGGAATAAAATATTCTTTATTCATAATATGAAAAAGAGGCAATATAAAATATTTTCTCTGAAGGAGAAGAGGAGAGACATGTTCTTAAAGACAGAAAGCAGCCCGTCTTCCTGCTATAGGAAAACAGTCTCAAGCAAAAACCTGAAGAGGCTAATCTTTAGGATTGGAGATTTTCTAATCCATTCAGAAAGACTGGGCCAAACTATTGATAAACAAAGGACAGCAAGAAACCTTAAATAAGCAACACAATAGAGAAGGCTAAATTGACAAGATTAGCTCAGACAAACAAAACACCTAGGATTTGCATTTCCCCTGTTGCCTGTAGAGCCAGCCATGAACCCTACATGACCCCATAAGAATCTGGCAGCAGCCATTAGAACAGTGGTTCTCAACCTTTCTAATGCCGCGGCCCCATAATACAGTTCCCCATGTTGTGGTGACCCCCAACCACTTATACATCACCGGGTGCCAGGCGCGTGGCCAAAGAAAAGGGGAAAAAAATGGCGGACAGCCTTGTTTGGCAACCCCCGTGAAATGGTTGTTCGACCCCAAATGGGGTCCTGACCCACAGGTTGAGAACCACTGCGTTAGAATATTAAAAGGGCACAATCAAGCACAGGTCAATGTACATTTCACAAGGAACAGGCATCCCAATAACAAAGCCCCAAAGGATGTATAAAAACCCACCTTCTCTCAACTCCATTTTGTCAGCTGTCACAAAACCGCTTGCTGTTGTTGGTTCTGCTCCTCAATAAACAGAGATTTTATTTCCTAAGCAGCCAGCCTCCATTTTATTTTTCAGCATCTTTCTCCCGGCTTGGAATTGGACCTGATTTTTCTTCCCACACCGAGAAGGGGAGGAAATTGTGCTGTGTTCCTTCTTGATATTCTAGTGTAGGCATGTCAAACTGCTGGCCCATGGGCCGGATGCATCATAACAAAACCGCACCCACCCCATTGCCAGCAATGGGGAAAAAGTCGCAATATGTGCATGACATCGCATGACGTCATGGATTTGACATGCCTGTTCCAGTGGGAGAATTTGACAATCTGCTGAATAGGACTTAATTGGCTGCCAAAAAGGTTTCTGAAGTCCACCAAGAGACCATCAACACAAAATGAGGCGTTGTCTGTACCTAAGCAGGACCCTTTGAGACTTCAAAGAAGCTGAAACAGCATTAGCAATTTCTGACCTGATCCAGGAGGATTGCCAGCTGTTGCTCACCTTCCCATCTGCTTATCCGATGCATTGGTAATTTTCCCCACTGGGAGAAAAGACAGCTATATAAGAGGATCCTACTTTTAGTTTACCTGCCTATGTTGCTTTTTTAAGTCCAGCGGGGTTTTCTTGAAAGTTCAGGGGAGAAAGCTGAGGTACAAAAATTGTGACAAAACAATAGGCCCAACAGGTAAGTAGCATCCTGTTTAGCCTTTGTAAAGGGCTGGGCTGTGTAGTTTTAGATGTAGACAGAGGCTGATGGGACCCAATTGTCCTTTACAGGATACAGTCGCTTCTCCAATGCAGAAGAACAAGCTAAGCTGGTAACTACAAAAATCTACCAGGTGAGCATGGAAGAATTTCTGGAGCAAAACTGTACAGACCTGCAAAAATGAACCAACCTCCTACAGCTATAACAGCATATGGCCTCAATCCCAATAGCCTGTGGATGCCATTGCCACCTTCGTTTGCCATCTGTCCTCCTGGGCTGGAATATTTAACCCAACTTGATTGGTTATTAATCCACCAGAAATATGAAATTCTGGAACTGATCACCTCTTTTGAAACGGCCAACAAGTACGAAGTGAGAAACAGGCTTGGAGAAATGGTGTATTTTGCCACAGAAGAAAACAACTTCTGTGTGAGGAATTGCCTTGGATCTTTGCGGCCGTTTACCATGGTGATCTCTAACCACGTGGGACAACAGGTCATCCATCTCGTGCGACCTTTCCGTTGTGACGGCTGTTGTTGCCCGTGCTGCTTGCAAGAACTGGAAATCCAGGCCCCACCAGGCTTACCTGTTGGCTACATCCAGCAGCTGTGGCATCCCTGTCTGCCCAAATTTGTAATCCAGAACGAAGCCCACCGAGATGTCCTGAAAATCATTGGACCTTTCATCACATCCGCCTGCTTTGGCAATGTGGTATTTGAAGTGACCGCACTAGATGAAAAGACCAGTGTGGGAAAGATTTCTAAGCAGTGGGGAGGTATTCTCCAGGAGTTTTTCACCGACGTGGATTTCCTTGGAATTTCATTCCCGTTAGACCTTGATGTTAAAATGAAAGCAGTGATGCTTGGGGCTGGTTTTCTCCTTGATTTCATTTTCTTTGAAGCAGGAGGAAACGATAACGAACGATATTCTGTTTGGTTTTAAAAGCTGGCCGTCCCTGTATTATAAAAAGTTTAGAGAAAGTCCTTGTGTTTATCTAGTCTTCTTTGGCTAAACTGGAAAGTCAAGTTTGCTTACTAGAGGTTTTTTTTTTTTGGTTGAGTAACAAATATTAAAGCTGATTTTTGATAATATTTGGCCCATTAACCTTTCGTGCAGTTCTATTCCAGGATGTGACTATATTCTAGATGGCCTTTCAAACAGCTTATACTTTGAGAACAAGTTTTCTTTCTCTTATGGTTTGTGTAAAAATTGTTGAATTAGGTTCCTTTCATTTGTTCATCATATTTTTTGAAGGGAACAACACATTGCAACCTATATTGATTTAGTTGTAGATAAATGGTATATTTAATACAAATAGTCCCCAACTTATGACCGTTTGTTTGGTGACTGTTCAAAGTTATACGGTGCTGAGAAAAGTGATCCTCGCACTTACACACTAGTTTGGATAATGAAATGTCTGCAAGAAAACAACCAAGCTCCGAGAGCACCAAGGTTCCCCCCTCCACTTTATATTGTGTGGACGTCCATTCCCAGAATTCCTCAGCCCCCAGCACGCTGGCTGAGGAATTAGTAATAGTAATAGTAGTAAAGTTGGAAGGGACCTTGGAGGTCATCTAGTCCAACCCCCTGCTCGGGCAGGAAACCCTACACCATTTCGGACAAATGGCTGTCCAGTCTCTTCTTAAAAACTTCCAGTGTTGGAGCATTTACTGCTTCTGGGAGTTGAAGTTCAAATATCCTCAAGTCCCTAAGAATCTGAGCAAGCGCGTTCAACCCAGCCTTGCTTGGATTCGCTCAATTGTTTCCCCTCTCCCGCCGCCCTTGGAAGGGCTCATGCGTCAATGGTGCCAGCCAGCTTTTCCTGGCAGCGGCTGGGGTTGCTCTTTCGTCACGTGACGGGTGGGATCGGCATGGCGGCGCCCTGCTCAGCCTCGCTCTCGCGTCGCAGCCCGGTGACGTCAGGTCTCGGCGCTGGGGCGAGAGGCGGGGCCGCGGGGGTCGACGGCGATGGGGCTCGCTGAGGAGGAAGAAGCGGGTGGAAGGCGGCTTCGCGGCTGCTGACCCTCCGCGGAGAGCGAGCGGGGGGCCGGTCGTCCCGGACAGGGCTGGGGAGCGGCGGCGGGTAAGGGCGGGCCGTGGCGGTGGCAGGCCTCTTTCCTGAGTGGGTCCCGGGGAAGGCCCGGCTGAGAGGAGGAAAGCGACCCTCCGCGGCCTCCTCCGCCTCGGCGAGCCTGCCCGGCTTCTAGAGAGGCCCGAGCCGGGGATGCCCCTTTGCCCCGTCTCGAAATCCCCCGGGGTAGCCCCTTAGGCGCGCCCTGGAAGGTCTCGGGGAGGGAAGTGGGGCCGAGAAGGGTTGGGGGCGCCTCCACGGAGCAGAACGGAATCCTCCCCCCCTTTTTTTCCTCCTCGAACGGGGTAAAACGAATTGTAGTGATTTCTTCAGGGAGTCAGGAGTGGGAGGGATCTCGAGACCTGGGGTGGCTTTGCCCGGGGGGGGGGGGGGTTATCTAAAGGGCCGTCAACGCCTGAAGGGGACAAGCTCAGTATTAGGGTGAGTCTTGGGATGGGAGACCACGAAGAGATCCCCGGTGGATAGCTTGGCCAGGGAGTTAGAAAGGCGTCCCCACTGCTGAGAAAGCTGCCTTGTATTCCCCCCAAAGCCAACTCTTCGTTTGATGGTTTGGGGATATCCGGCCTCCCTTAGATGGGAGGGTTTAAATGTGTGGATTTGAGCGTTTTTGTTCTAAAACCTAGCGGAGAAGCAAATTAGAAAAAAATAATCCCTGAAAGAAATCACCACCACCCTTCGCATCTATACAGGTAGTCCTCGAGTTACAACCATTCGTTTAGTGACCGAAGTTACAATGGCATTGGAAAAAAATGGACTTTTGACCCTTTTTCACACTTACAAGCATTGCAGCCTCTCCACAGACATGAGATTTACATTCGGGTGCTTGACAACTGACTCGTATTTATGACGCTTGCAGTGTCCCGGGGTTCAGGTGATCCCCTTTTGCGACCTTCTGACAAACAAAGTCAATGGGGAAGCCAGTGCTACTGATTTAAGAACTGCAGTGATTCACTTAACAAATGTGGTGAGAAAAGTTACAAAATGGGGCAAAACTCACACAACAAATTTCTCACTTAGCAATATTAATATTGGGCTCCATTGTGGTCGTACATTGAGGACTACCTACAGGTAGTCCTTCCTATAGAAGTGACTTGCAAGTTCAAACACAGCTTCCTAAAATCTTGTCAGATAAGTGAGTTTCCCCTTGCGTTAGTCCCTTCTCATTATGTTGAGATTTTAAACAGTATGGAGTAGACTAGTGTACAGGTTGTCCTCGACCTATGACCATAATTGAGCCCCAAATTTCTGCTGCTAAGTGAGGCAGTTGCTAAGTGAATTTTGCCTCATTTTACAACTTTTCTCAGCATAGTTGTTAGGTGAATCACTGCAGTTGTTATGTTAGGGGCACAATTGTTAATTGAATCTGGCTTCCCCATTGGCTTTGCTTTTCACAGGTTCACAAAAGGTGATCACATGACCTCAGGACACGGCAACCATCATAAATATGAGTCGGCTGCCAAGCATCTGCATTGTGATCATGTGACCATGGGGAAGTTGTGATGGTTGTGTGAAAAAGGGTCACGACTCCCTTTTTTCAGTACTGTTGTAACATCAAACGGTCACTAAATGAACTGTTATAAGTTAAGGACAACCTGTAGTCCATCCACAGGGAAGTCCCTTTAGTAGTAAGCAACATGATATGTGCTTCAGTTTCACTATCTGCTCGATAAGAAATTTATATTCGATATAGGTGTTGTGACCTATATGCTGGGGATTTGTTTGGAAATTCATAATTGAATTATTCCATGGATGAAAATCAGAGAAACAAATCAATAACCTAATTTTTAGATTGGCCGCAATCTGAGATTTCTCTGTACTGTATGTGTTAACCTGGGATAAATCCTGTTTGAATTCAGAAGACTCTCCTTGTTCCAATATCTAGGCTAATGTTGTTTTCTTTAATCAACAGATAAACACATGAATGTGGCACTGTGGTTGTACATGAACAATCACAAAGTTAAAAAGCAGTAATAGTTGAGCCACTGTACATCTTTACATATTTTGAGTACTAGGCCCACCATATTGCATCATAATACATATTTTAGTTTTATGTTAATGTACCATGAAAATGCGATTTGTTGAATTTGTGTATTTAGTGTGTGTATGAACACATCTGGAAGTTTTCTTTAATTCCTGGAATGTTTTTTCTTTCTTTGTGTAGCAAACAAGAAGGATAAATTGGAGATTATCAAGATGAGCAGAAAGCCTCCACATCGTCCTGGGATCACATTTGAAATTGGTGCTCGCTTAGAAGCCCTGGATTATCTACAAAAATGGTATGGAACCTGATTACAGCTGATCCTCAATTTATGACTACAACTGAACCCAACATTTATGTTGCTAAGGGAGACATTTGTTTGTTAAGTGAGTTTTGCCCCATTTTGTGACTTTTCTTGCAACAGTTATTAAGTGAATCACTGCAGGTGTTAAGTTAATCCAATGGCTGTTAAGTGAACCTGGTTTCCCCATTGACTTTGCTTGTTAGAAGTTCACAAAAGATGGTCACATGACCCCCCGGGGAAACTGCAACTGACATAAATACATGACAGTTGCCAGGTGTCTGAATTTTGATCATGTGACCCTAGGGATGCTGCAACAGTTGTAAGTGTGGAAAATTGACATAAGTCACTTTTTTTCAGTGCTGTTGTAACTTCAAAGGGTTACTAAATAAACTGTTGTAAATCGAGAACTACCTGTATACTGCTGGCTTAGTAGAAGACATCTTCATACGATGCATGATAGCTCCATGCCAATACATATAGAAGTAAAGAATTCAGTATACATCATATACATACCACTTTCAACGTAACCAATTAGTCTGGAAGCTTTTCCTGTTTCTGTGTGCAGACATAGACAGATAGGCAGACGCACATAATCACACAAACAAACACACGCATTCTGTAGCTATATTTGATTTTGTATTACACAGTCAAGAATGAAATTTAAAAACATTGCCAGTTTAATGAGTCAGGATCATATACATTACTGTGGGTAACCTTACCAAAACATGCAGTGTTCTTTAAATTGATCTCTTGCCTGATATAAAACCAGCCCCAATGCTTTGTGCTTTTGAAAAAAATAGTTAAAAATCTGGCTTTTTCTCTAGGCATTTGGGTTGAGTCAGAAGTCAGGGAGGGGCCTCCTTGTGATTTGTTTTTTAATTATCGTGCTTTGTTTCTAATTTTAAGCACTGAGTACTATTTTAATGAAGTTTGGCATGTGTTCTATAATGTTTATTTGTGTTGCACACTGCCCTGGGTCACATTCCTGGTGTTGGGCTCATAAACGTTTGAAATAAATAAATAGTTGCAAGTGTTTCACTTGAAAGACTCGTAATATATAGTAGCAGGTTTTTCATCTTGCTCCCATTATCCCTATTTTGCATGATTCAGTGATTATTTTGCTTGAGATGCACAGTGGGAATAAAATTTCTTTTTTTTTTTAAAAAAAAGAGAAGCTCTTATACTGTAATAGCTTTATATAATTTTGATGAAGGTGGTCTTGTGTTTGTGCTTAAAAGTTCTTTAAATTTTTCCTCAATTTTTCTTCCTTTTTTTTTAAAAAAAAGCATGAATTTTGCACCATAGGACAGTCATCTATGATTTCTTGATATCCACTGATTCACAAAATATCCCTTTATAAGAAAAAAAGTCATCTGTTTTGTAAAAATGGATCCTTTCATAATGCCACATTTGAATACAGTTTAGAGAAAATAGAGTGGTGCTTGTAATACCTTAGAGCAGTGGTTCTCAACCTGTGGGTCGGGACCCCATTTGGGGTCGAACGACCATTGCATGGGGGTCGCCAAACAACGCAGTCCGCCATTTTTTCCCCCTTTTCCTTAGCTGTGCTACTCCCTTTTATTCTATTGGCTTTTGAAAGCCAATAGAATAGACTCTCTTGAATAGAGTCTAATTCTATTGGCTTTCAAAAGCCAATAGGAATTGTCCAGGCTGTCTCTGCCCTGCTGAGCCCGCCAAAAGTCCCATTCTGCAAACGGTGCTGCACCAGTTGAGTAGTCCTCGACTTACGACCGGTTGAGTAGTCCTTGAGTTACGACAGGTTGGGGTCGCAGCATTAAAAAGGTTGAGAACCACTGCCTTAGAGACCAGTGAGTAGGCAGCATAAAAATAGGTATCATAAATACACAAATTAACATGAACTGGTACCTATATCACACTAATTGATACAAGTAAGAATCGTAAAATAAGATAAATTGGTTGAGAGTAAATCGGATTTGGATCAGGAAAAATATGGTCTCTTCTAAAGTATACAAAAGTCACCATTGGACACCCAATGGTTTTTCATCTGTGGAAATACACGATTTTCTTGTATTTAAAAATAGGATGTTGAGAATTTAAATTGTTCAACTTGATAATAAGCACCTCTTCCTTGAAAGAATGCTTTTATATTCCCCAATCAGCACAAGTACGCAAGAGACTTTTTTTTTCCTCTTCACTAATTAATAGAGCAAAAGATAGTATTGTCATTTAGCTTGGGAGTTATTCAGAATTGAAATTCAGGATATTGCTGTAATGAAATGGGTAGTTACTACGGTAGCTCTTAACACCTGATCAACTGTCTGGTTACCTTTCAGCAAATTCAGATTTTAGTGCAATGCATATACTCCACCCCTGTGGATATTCCATTACTACAGGAAATACCTGTTTTTCACATTGTAGAGAAAATAGTTTTCAAATATGGGCTAGGATATTTGATACGCTTGCAAGTATAGAATTCCCCGCTATTCATGGAAATAGTGACCCTGCCAAGGAACTTTTGTTGTAGATTCTTGGATTGCAGTATTCCCTGGAATTAAAAAAAAAAAATTCCTTGAAATTTTTCCTTGTAAAATATCTCGCATCATAGAAACACCAAGGGTTGTTGCATTTTTGGAAACAAAGTATATACAGTGAGGGGAAAGAGTATTTGATCCCCTGCTGATTTTGTACGTTTGCCCACTGACAAAGAAATGATCAGTCTGTAATTTTAATGATAGGTTTATTGTAACAGTGAGAGACAGAATAACAACAAAAATGCAGAAAAACGCATTTCAAAAAAGTTATAAATTGATTCACATTTTAATGAGTGAAATAAGTATTTGATCTCCTATCAATCAGCAAGATTTCTGGCTCCCAGGTGTCTTTTATACAGGTAACGAGCTGAGATTAGGAGCACTCTCTTAAAGGGAGTGCTCTTAATCTCAGCTTGTTACCTGTATAAAAGATACCTGTCCACAGAAGCAATCAATCAGATTCCAAACTCTCCACCATGGCCAAGACCAAAGAGCTGTCCAAGGATGCCAGGAACAAGATTGTAGAGCTACACAAGGCTGGAATGGGCTATAAGACTATTGCCAAGTAGCTTGGCGAAAAGGTGACAACAGTTGGCGCGATTATTAGCAAATGGAAGAAACACAAAATAACTGTCAGTCTCCCTCAGTCTGGGGCTCCATGCAAGATCTCACCTCATGGAGTTTCAATGATCATAAGAACGGTGAGGAATCAGCCCAGAACTACAAGGGAGGATCTTGTCAATGATCTCAAGGCAGCTGGACCATAGTCACCAAGAAAACAATTGGTAACACACTACGCCGTGAAGGACTGAAATCCTGCAGCACCTGCAAGGTGCCTCTGCTCAAGAAAGCACATGTACAAGCCTGTCTGAAGTTTGCCAGTGAACATCTGAATGATTCAGAAGAGAACTGGGAGAAAGTGTTGTGGTCAGGTGAAACCAAAATCTAGCTCTTTGGCATCAACTCAACTCACCATTTTAGGAGGTGGAATTCTGCCTATGACCCCAAGAACACCATCCCCACCATCCAACATGGAAGTGGAAACATGCTTTGGAGATGTTTTTCTGCTAATGGGACAGAACAACTTCACTGCATCAAAGGGACGATGGACGGGGCCATGTACCATCAAATCTTGGGTGAGAACCTCCTTCCCTCAGTCAGGGCATTGAAAATGGGTTGTGGATGAGTATTCCGATATGACAATGACCCAAAACACACAGCCAAGGGAATAAAGAAGTGGCTCAAGAAGAAGCACATTAAGGTCCTGGAGTGGCCTAGCCCGTCTCCAGACCTTAATCCAGTGGTTCTCAACCTTCCTAATGCCGCAACCCTTTAATGCAGTTCCTCATGTTATGGTGACCCCCAACCATAAAATTATTGTCATTGCTACTTCATAACTGTAATTTTGCTACTGTTATGAATCATAATGTAAATATCTAATATGCAGGGTGTATTTTCATTGTTACAAATTGAACATAAAGCATAGTGATTAATCACAAAAACTGTAGCAATGCTCGCTGGAGAAGCTTACTCTTCCTTGCTCAAAAATGTTGGGAGAGAGGGAAGGGGAAGGAAGGAAGATTGAAGGGGAAAGGAAGGAGATGGAGAAGGAAGGAGATTGAAGGGGAAAGGAAGGAAGGAAGGAAGGAAGGAAGGAAGGAAGGAAGGAAGGAAGGAAGGAGAAAGAGATTGAAGCGGAAGGGATGGAGATGGAAGAAAGGAAGGAAGATTGAAGGAGAAAGGAAGGAGATAGAAGGGGAAAGGAAGGAAGGAAGATTGAAAGGGAAAGGAAAGAGATGGAGAAGGAAGGAGATTGAAGGGGGAAGGAAGGAAGGAAGGAGATGGAGATGGAAGGAAGGAAGGAAGATTGAAGGGGAAAGGAAGGAGATGGAGAAGGAAGGAAGATTGAAGGGGAAAGGAAGGAGATGGAGAAGAAAGATTGAAGGAGGAAGGAAGGAAGGAGAGAGAGATTGCAGGGGAAGGGATGGAGATGGAGATGGAAGGAAGGAAGGAAGATTGAAGGGGGGAGGAAGGAGATGGACAAGGAAGGAGATTGAAGGGGGAAGGAAGGAAGGAAGGAAGGAAGGAAGGAAGGAAGGAAGGAAGGAAGGAAGGAAGGAAGGAAGGAAGAGAGAGATTGAAGGGGGGAGGCGCTGCCAAGGATGCACAAGCAGCTCCGCACAATTGCCTGGGGAGGGGGGGAGGCTCTAACGGAGAGCCTGGTGGAGAGCCAAGCGGTGGCACATCCGGGGTCTCGGAAGCTGCACGGAGGATCTGTGTGCCTCGGAGCCGCCGGCCGCCCTCTCACACCCGCCAAGGGATGGAGATGGAAGGAAGGAAGATTGAAGGGAAAAGGAAGGAGATGGAGAAGGAAGGAGATTGAAGGGGGAAGGAAGGAAGGAGAGGGAGATTGAAGGGGAAGGGATGGAGTTAGAGAAGGAAGGAGATTGAAGGGGGGAGGCGCTGCCAAGGACGCACAAGCAGCTCCACACAATTGCCCGGAAAAAGGGGGAGGCTCTGGCGGAGAGCCTGGTGGAGAGCCAAGCGGCGGCACATCCGGGGCCTCAGAAGCTGCGCGGAGGATCCGTGCGCCTCGGAGCTGCCGGCTGCCCTCTCACACCCGCCAACCTGGAGCCCCCATCCTCATCCCAGCACCTCTTGCCCTCTCCCAGCCGCCGCCTGGGCCCTGCCAGCCCCTCCAGTCTCCTGAGCGCCATCTCAGCAGCGGGGTCGCAGGAGCCCCTTTCCATGCTGCACAGCCCATCGCACGCGAGAGGGGCGTGGCTGGAGCGCCAGCTCCCGCTTGGAAGGCGCCGCTTCGACCCCCAAAAGGGTCGTGACCCACAGGCTGAGAACCGCTGCCTTAATCCCATGGAAAATCTGGGATTTTCAGGGAGCTGAAGGTTCAAGCTGCCAAACATCAGCCTCGAAACCTTAATGACATGGAGAAGATCTGCAAAGAAGAGTGGGACAAAAATCCCTCTTGAGATGTTTGCAAACCTGGTGGCCAGCTACAAGAAACATCTGACCTCTGTGATAGCCAACAAAGGTTTTGCCACCAAGTACTAAGTCATGTTTTCCGAAGGGGTCAAAAAAGAGCCGAGGTGGCGCAGCAGTTAGAGTGCAGTACTGCAGGCCACTTTAGCTGACTGTGTTCAGCAGGTCAGTGGTTCAAATCTCACCGGCTCAAGGTTGACTCAGCCTTCCATCCTTCCGAGGTAGGTAAAATGAGGACCCAAATTGTTGGGGACAATGTAAATATATATATACATTGCTTACTGGTGTACACCGCTTAGAGAGTGCTTGCACTGAAAGCGGTATATAAGTCCCATAAATAAATAATAAATAAATAAATAAAATCCAGAAGAACGCATTTCAAAATCATCCTTGGATAGCTCTTTGGTCTTGGCCATGGTGGAGAGTTTGGAATTTGATTGCTTGCTTGCTTCTGTGGACAGGTGTCTTTTATACAGATAACAAACTGAGATTAGGAGCACTCCCTTTAAAAGGGTGCTCCTAATCTCAGTTCGTTACCTGTATAAAAGACACCTGGGAACCAGAAATCTTGCTGGTTGATAGGGGATCAAATATTATTTCACTCATTAAAATGTGCTTTCACTTTTTGAAATGCACTTTTCTGCATTTTTTTGGTTGTTATTCTGTCTCTCACTGTTACAATAAACCTATCATTAAAATTATAGACTGATCATTTCTTTGTCAGTGGGCAAACGTACAAAATCAGCAGGGGATCAAATACGTTTTACTATATTTCAAACAGGTTTTCTAGAACTAGAGTATTGGTAACACCAGGAATGGGGAAGAATTGTTGATCATCTTTAGTGTAAAATTAAAATATAAAGCTATGGCAGAGCAGAAAAAAAAAAATCTATGACAGGTTTATTTCATTGAATAGCTCAGCTTGTTGAATGTGAACAGTTTGGGTAGAACTAATTCATTTTGTTAAAACTTATCTTTAATAAAGTTATTTTAAAATAACTGACCAATAAGTTTTTAAAGAGTGTTTTTAATAGCTCCAGACAGAGCATCTTTTATAATTAATACTATCCTTTCTCTATTGTTGTACGGATTTTTCTGTTCCTGTTTAATGTTTTAAACTTATAATAGGCAACGGTGCTTAGATTTGATTCCGGCCTAATGTTTTTTTGTAAAGTTTCTGGCTCCAAATAGATATGACTTTTATGGTCTTTGCCTTCCATAGTCTAGAAGTAAAATTTCATGCTAGAAAATTTTAAAGTACTGTAATTGTGAAGCAGATGGAACACCTAGGCAGGAGAGCAGCTACTACTGGAATTTTTCTGATATGTTATTATCTTAAATTTGTAAGATTAAACATAAAAATTATTTTTTAGAGTAGATTGATAGCTAATACCAATGGATGATCTGAAATGGTGACTTAAAGCTGTCTAAGAAGAGCCGGTTTATAAATCGTCATGCTCTGGTTTTTTTTCCTTGATAAAAATATGTCTCATTCAGTTTTTGTCCAGAGGTGCAAAGCCACTTTCATAGTTTTAGCAAAGCTGCGTAACATACAAGTATCCATCCCTTTCATGCTAACATATCTTCTCATCTCAAAAGTAATTTGCAGAAATGTTACAATGAATAAAAAAGATGGGAAACAAACTATTAGCAAGGGTAGGCAACCTTGGCTCTTTTATGACTCCTCAGGAATTCTGGGAGTTGAAGTCCACGAGTCATAAAAGAGCCAAGGTTGCCTACCCCTGGTGTATGGCTATGCTGAACTTAATCCTGTTCCATCTTCCCAGAGTCCATCTCTCTCTCTCTCTCTCCCTCCCTCCCCCCTGTTTCTTTGTGCGCATGCACTCCTAGCACAAAATCACAACTTTTCCCCCTTGTGTTCTTATCAGTGACTTCCATAGAGGATTCATGATAATACCTCCTGTTAGGTGCTGTGTCAATAAGATTTAGAGGCTGTGTATTTTTACCTTTGGTGTCCACGTTATTAGCCAAGGAACTGATTAAAACCTGCTCAGTTTTGAAAACAGTGAATACTAGAGGTGTTTAGAATAAGAAATATCTGGGCTATTTCTGTGTCTATGTGGCTTCAAGGAAAATTGGCAATCCATATCTTCTCAGTTGATGGAAGAAACTGCTATAAGCGGGAGAGTTTTAATACGAAGCAACAACTAATATCCTGCCTTACATACTGATGCATTTCCCAGATTTGTATTTTCTGGTTGGATTTGGATGTGTGTGCGTGTGAGCCACATCTTTGTGCTTTATTTTCTCTTCCAGTTAGTTGTTTATTTAAATTATATATATTTTTAACTGCTTACGGATTTTTGATACCTTACAAAGTGGTTTGAACAAAGTCTTATGGAAAAGTTACAAATCGATAAAGGGTATGCATTATATATAATGAATATGCATACACATAATACAGGTAGTCCTCGACTTATAGTTCACTGAGAAACCATTCGAAGTTACAACGGCTGTGAAAAAAAAATGGATTACAACTTGTGCTTGCAGTTACACAATTGCATTATTCCTGCGGTCATACGATCAAGTTTGAGCGGTTGGCAAGTTGCATGTGTGTGTTTATAAGGGTGGCCGCATCCCAGGGTCATATAATTGCCATTTGCAACCTTCCCAGCTGCCTTCCAACAACCAACGTCAATGGTAAAGCTGGATTCTCTTAACAACCATATGATTCTTTTAACAAATGCAGTGAGTCACTTAGTAGCCATGGCGACAAGATCATAAAACTGGGCATGACTCACTGAACAGCCTCCGTGCTTAGCAACAGAAATTACGGTCCCAATTGTGGTCATAAATTGAGGACTACCTGTATGATCCCGTCCTATGAAAGCGCAGCAATTCAGCCTATCTCTGCGCTATTAGAAACTTATCGCTCGATCCTCCTCGCATTTTAATTTATCGTACTTCAGGATGAGTAATTCGCGTAAACGCTCTGGGTGCCTGAGGAGAGAAAGCCTCTGAAGTCTCTTCTTTCTGTTTGTCTTCTAAAGGTACCCTTCGCGCATTGAGAAGATAGACTATGAGGAAGGGAAGATGCTTGTCCATTTTGAGCGTTGGAGTCACCGTTACGATGAATGGATTTACTGGGATAGCAACCGATTGCGCCCGCTCGAGCGGCCTTCGATGAGGAAGGAGGCCCTAAAAGACGATGAATTTATCGTAAGCATTTCTCCAGTCCTTATGAGTGGCTTGAAGTGGAAGTCACGGGCCAGGATCGCAAGCCCCGATTATAGCCCAGAGTACAGACAAATGAAACGTCATTCCATACACCAGGGGTCTTCAGACTTGGCGCTTTTATGACTTGTGGACTTCAACTCCCAGAATTCTGCCTGGCTGGGGAATTCTGGGAGTTGAAGTCCACAAGTCATAAAAGCACCAAGTTTGAAGACCCCTGCCATACACTGTTGGGATCTGAATTTCTGTTGCTAAGTAAGGAGATGTTTAAGTCAAGTGTGCGTGATTTTACAATCTTTTTTGGTCACAGTTGTTAAGCAAAGCACTGCAGCTAATAGTTCAGAGGGCTGGCTGAGGAATTCTGGGAGTTGAAGTCCACAAGTCTTAAAGTCACCAAGTTTGAAGACCCCTGGCATAGTTGCTTAATGAATCCAGCTTCCCTCATTGACTTTGTTGCAATTTGGCTGGGAAGGTCACAAATGGCGATCCCATGACCGTGGGATGCTGCAACCCTTCTAAATACATGCCGGTTGCCAAGCGCCTGAATTTTGACCATGTGACCAGTGGATGCTGCGATGGGTGTAAGTGCAAGGATCAGTTGTAAGTCCCTCCCCCTTCCCCCATGCTATTGTAACGTCAAATAGTCACTAAACAAATGGTTGTAAGTTCAGGACGACCAGTAATCTTTGGAGACTGGAATTTTATTTTATTTTTCCCAAAGCTAGGTTTTAAGTTATATTCCCTCACTTTGTTCTTTTAAAACAGGATTTTAAACCAGGAGAAGAGGTTCTGGCTCGTTGGACAGATTGCCGATATTATCCCGCAAAAATTGAAGCAATTAACAAAGAAGGTTTGTATCAAGTCAGGGAGAGGAGCCCTTTCCTGCTGGAACACCAGGAATCCATTCCGTCTAGTGCACGGTTCGGCAACCCGTGGCTCCGGAGCTGCATGTGGCTCTTTGAGCCTTCTCCTGTGGCTCCCAGTCTCCTCTGCCATTTGCAGAGAGAGAGAGAGAGAGAGAGAGATAGACAGAGAGAGGCACTTGTGCTCCTCCCTCTCTCTCCCTCTCTCTATGTAAAAGAGTGGCCTCATGCTGTTCTCTGACAAGCTTATTGGGCGGGGCTCCTCCCTTTACTGCATCGAAGCAGGAAGCAGCAGCTCTCTGTCTCTGTCTGTCTGTCTGTCTGTCTGTCTCTCTCTCTCACACACACACAGACACACACAGACACACAGACACACACACACACAACACTGAGTGGGGGAAGAGGAGTGGCAGACCAAGGGCAGGAGAGAGCCAGACCAATAAGAATGTGTGTCAGTTTGCCGGAGGACAGCGTGAAGCCAGCTTGCCAGGTGAGCAGAAGATCGGAGAGAGGGGGGAGAGAGAGAGAACGAACTCATGTACAGCAGCCTCTATTTCTTTTTAATTAAGCTCTTCAATCAAATTCCCCCCCTCCTGTGTCCGTGTGTGTGCGCGCGCAACTTTTGTGGCTCCCAGTGTTTTCTCTGGGAAATGGGTCCAAGTGGCTCTTTGAATGTTTAAGGTTGCCGACCCCTGGTCTAGTGCCTTTTTCTAACAGCAGTTAAGGTAGACTCCTCAGAGAAGCTGATGAGCTGAATGCAAAGGCAGCAGCTTTTCTCTATGCTTCTCACTTTGTGCACAATTATTAGGCAAGTGAATATTTTGGCCATATCATGCATATTTCCACTTCCAGGCTGCATAAACTTGAATGCTTAGTGGATACAAGCATAGCAGGTCATGTGTATTTGTTTAATGAGGGAGGGTGTGGCCTAAGGAGATCAACACCCTATATCAAAGTGTGCCTAATTATTAGGCAGCTTCTTTTCCTCAGAGAAAATGGACCAAAAAAGAGATTGAACTGACTCTGAAAAGTTAAAAATTGTAAAAAAAAGTCTTTCAGAGGGATGCAGCACTCTTGAAATTACTAAGATATTGGGGCCTGGCCATGGGAACATGTTGGAAAAGAGACCACTGCAAAAGCTGGAATATAAATCTAAATAAATGTCAGTATCAGGAGTTTATTTTGTACTCAGTACAAAATTTAAGTACAAGAAACCAAAATTTGGTGCTTGGGGGTGACATGATAGCTCTCTTCCAAGGCTTGAAGGGCTGTCCCAGGAAAGAGAGTCCGAATTTGTTCTCCAAAGCACCTGAGGGCAGGACAAGAAATGGGCGGAAGCTCATCAGAGCCTGATCCAACTTGGAGGTGAGGAGGAATGATGTCAGCAAGAATGATTAATCAGTGGAACAGCTTGCCTCCCAGAGTTATGGGTGCTCCATTGCTTGAGGTTTTCAAGAAAAGGTTGGACGTCCATTTGTCTGGAATGATATAAAGCAGTGGTTCTCAGCCTGTGGGTCGGGACCCCGTTTGGGGTGGAATGACCATTTCACGGGGGTCGCCAAACAAGGCTGTCCGCCATTTTCCCCCCTTTGGCCATGCCCCTGGCACGCAGTGATGTATAAATGGTTGGGGGTCACCACAACATGGGGAACTGTATTATGGGGTCGCGGCATTAGAAAGGTTGAGAACCACTGATATAAAGACTTCTGCCTTGGGAAAGAGTAGAAGATCCTCCAAGATCCTTTCCAGCCCTATGATCCTGTTTGAATTTGGCACACAGTTGAAGTCCTTCTATTTTGGAAATGAAAAGGGCAGGTAGTTATGCCTGTATTTCAGTGTGTTGGAGAATGGAAAACATTTCTAGCTAATATTTTTAGGAAACCAGCTGTTCTTCCCAGTTGTTAAATCAATTTCAAGCGTGTTCTTATATGAACTAAACTACAATATGTGGAACACCATTGTGCAGCTTTTAAAAAGGTTTTAAAGCTACATCCTAGGAATATTTAAAGGCAGATGCTGAATTTAACTCTCAAAAAATATACGCAAGGTTTCAAAGTCTAAGGGACAGCATAATTTAAGTCAGGATGAGACGCTGATGCCAGAAGTCCTCAGATCAAACTTTATGTGTATAAACTCAATTAATCAAAGAACAGTTACTTAGGTTAACTTCTTTGCAGTATGGAACACAAGAAAAATTCATATGAAATAACTTATTTTTTTTAAAAAAAAAATAAAGGCAATATTTGACTATTGCAGTCTGCAGTCTGCTATTAGATTATCCTCAAAATGCCTTGAAATTGCCATTTGTATAAAATCATTCTGTAGTTTAAGATCTTCATGGGTTACCAGCTGTTTACCAAGCACCATTTAAGGTGTTGGTATTAATTTGCAAATCCTTAAATGGCTTATGATCTGAGCCGCTCCCAGTATGAGTGTCTCTATCTGATAAGGAGTTTTATGAAATGCCCAGTATACTGCCAAATAAAGAGTTTTGGTTCACTTCTTGAATATGCATTTTTAATAATAGGTTTATCATTGTAGCTTATTGTATCACCTTCCATTTATATTTATATGTTCTGTTTCTACTATATTTCAAATAAATCAAATAAATAAAGTGTTAAAATCTTGAACGTAAGTGCCTTGCTGAAGCATTTAGGTTAGGGGTTCTCAACCTTGGCAACTTTAAGACTTGTCGACTTCAACTCCCAGAATTCCTCAGCCAACAAAGAGGAATTCTGGGAGTTGAAGTCCACAAGTCTTAAAGTTGCCAAGGTTGAGAACCCCTGATTTAGGTAATCTGAAACAATTGTGCTGATTGAATTTTCAATCATTTATTCCCTTAAAAATGAATTCTGCATATATTAAATTGTGCAATATTAATTTGAAAAAAATGCATTGTTTAAAAAATGGATATTTATTTAGATTTAGATTTTTTAAAAAATCCTTCCTTTATTATTTTTATGAATAATTCAAGGCAGAGAACATGCCTAATACTACTTCTTCCTCCCATTTTCCCCACAACCCTGTGAGGTGAGTTGGGCTGAGAGAGAGTAACTGGCCCAAAGTCAGCCAGCCAGCCTTTCCTACCCAAAGTGAGACTAAGATTAAATGTCTCCTGATGATTGGCTCAAAGTCACCCAGTCGGCTTTTATACCTAAGGTGTGATTAGAACTCACAGTTTCCTGGTTTCTAGCCTGGTGGCTTAACCACTAGTTCAGGGGTAGGCAACCGTGGCTCTTTTATGGCTCGTAGACTTCAACTCCCAGAATTCCTGAGCCAGCATGGCTCAGCTTGGAAACCTCTCCCTTTCCCCTCAGCATGGCTGGCTCAGGAATTCTGGGAGTTGAAGTCCACGAGTCATAAAAGAGCCAAGGTTGCCTACTTCCGCACTAGTCCAAACTAGCTCTCAATAGATATTTCCTATATCTCTGAAAATGTTGAATGGAGTTGGAAGAAATTTGCAGGTTAAGGATGACATGAAACACTTGAGCTGATGTCCAGGTGTGTATGCCATTTGTAGAACAAAATCATCATTTAAATACATCAGTGAATAACTTCCTCTTTCTGGTGATGGTGTTCCAGGAACCTTCACTGTACAATTCTACGACGGAGTGATTCGGTGTCTCAAAAGAATACATATCAAATCCATGCCGGAGGATGCCAAAGGGCAGGTAAGCAAAGTTCCAATTAGTTTCTATGTTAAGTTGCATCTCTTAATTCCTCGTTAACTGCATTCCAGTTTGTGTTATGTAATTCACATTCCACAGACTCCACTAAGACTGAGGAATCAATCAGACACTTTAATAAGTGAACATGGTAGTCGACACCAGGAAAAAGTTCTTTCCCCCCCCCCTCTCTGTTCTTGTTCGTTTCCTGCAAGAAAAAAAAAAGATAGAAAATTCAAAACCAAGATATTATGCTGATGGAATAGCAGAAGGTGGAGGAGTATTCATTATCCAATTTCTTTGGCCTTTCCCATGCCTTCCATGTTAGAGCTAGGGCCTTAGATTTTGATTACTGCTAAAAAGCTTTTCTGTATAAGCTACGCTTGGTGAAGTCTTGTCATTATTTAAAGGCAATGACTCTTGATTCTAACTCTGCTGACAGACCACTCTTTTCATGCACTTTTAGTCCAGGAGTCAGCTTTTTTGGTGTCTGGGATGAGCACAAGAGGTCTGCACTTACAGCTTATTTAAGACTGTTGTGGGTATGATACTGCTGAGTCAGGTTTGTGGGCTTGGCAAAGTATTTATTGAATGTCTTTGCTTTTTTAAAACCTCTTGATTCTAGCTGGATGTTAGGCGAAAAATACTGAGAGAGTAGTTTTACAGTATAATATTATTAGGAGAGCTCCTTGGGAATTAAGGTATTCAGGCTGATGTTGGACATCTACCTGGAACAGTTGCTTTACTTCAGGTTTCAGTGATGATTCCTTCCAGTTCTGCAGTTTTAGAAATTATTTTGAGTCTTTTTTTGGACCTTATCAGTATACGTTTGGATGTTTGATGTCAGATTGGCAGGAAAGTATGCAGCTATTTTTCAGTGATTATGATTGGGGAAGAAGTTTCATGGGGCCACAGAAAAGGGATTTCAGAGTCACGTGTGACCCCGTAGGAGGCAAGTAGACAGAACTGAGGGTGGAGTTAAACATGTCATCAGCTTAGAGTTGCCACCAGTGACCGAAGTCCAGCCCTCCCTTGAATTCCTTTGACCCTTCTCTAGCGCCAATTTCGCGTTGACCGTTTACTTATTTATTATTTATATCCTGCCTTTATTATTTTTACAAATAAGACAGCGAACATACCCAACATACTTTTCTCCTCCTATTTTCCCCACAACAACCACCTTGTCAGGTGAGCCGGGCTGAGAGTGAGTGACTGGCACAAGGTCGCCCGTCCAGCCTTCATGGCTCAGGTAGGACAAGAACATAACATAGTCTTCAGCTTTCTAGCCTTAACCTCTAGGCCAGCGGTTCTCAACCTGTGGGTCGCGACCCCATTTGGGGTCGAACGACCATTTCACGGGGTCGCCAAACAACGCAGTCTGCCATTTTCCCCCCCTTTTCCTTAGCTGTGCTACTCCCTTTTATTCTATTGGCTTTTGAAAGCCAATAGAATAGACTCTCTTGAATAGAGTCTAATTCTATTGGCTTTCAAAAGCCAATAGGATTGTCCAGGCTGTCTCTGCCCTGCTGAGCCCGCCAAAAGTCCCATTCTGCAAATGGTGCTGCAAGTTGTCTGCAGCGAAGGCGAGCTGTCTGGAAGTTTCCACCCCTCCCTGCTGAGCAACTACTAAAAATGTAAGTAAAAGAGGGCCAGGGGTGGGAGGTGGGAGGCCGGCGGGTGCAGGGAGGGTTGCTGGTGCGCGTGGGGCCCGGCAGGTTCCTTACCTCCCTTGGGCTGGGCCAGCTGGTGGCCCAGCCGGTGGTCGCCCTGCGCCGTCGCTGCCCCTTGCCAGCTACACCTCGGCCGGCGCAGGGGGCAGCACCACGCATGCGCGGCACTCCCGGGCAGGGAAAGTCCTTGACTTACGACCAGTTGGGTAGTCCTCGACTTACAACCGGTTGGGGGTCGTGGCATTAAAAAGGTTGAGAACCACTGCTCTAGGCCAAACTGGCTTGCTAGTTGACTAGATTCTTGAGTATAAATCTGTGTTGCAATCTAATGGATGGTCCTGATTCTTTGTGCCTGACAGGCCCAAGTTCTCAGGCTATCCCCAATGAATGAAAAGATTGTGCGAAGTCAGGCTCGGGAAGAGCTGCCCTTAGAAGCACATCTGCCAGTCCAGTAATACTAAACCAGATGATAGCAATAGCATTTAGACTTATATACCGCTTCACAGTGCTTTGCAGCGCTCTCTCAGCGGTTTACAGAATCAGCATGTTACCCCCAACCCTCATTTTACCGACCTTGGAAGGATGGAAGGCTGAGTCAGCCTTGAGCCAGTCAGGATCAAACTCCTAGCTAGGGGCAGAGTCAGCCTGCAGTACTGCATTCTAACCATTATGCCACCATAGCTCTTATGACTGGTCTGATGCTGTAGAAGTCCTCTGTTCAGTGGAGCACTTAGGGGAGGGAGCCTGTTATCCTCAGCTATCGATATTTAAATAATACCCTGATGGCAGTTTTCATCCTTCGTTTAATGGTTGTTATGCAAATGGTGTAAACCACTATAGCTGTCACAAAATTAACAAAACTTTTTACTGCTTCATCCAGACGATTTCGGACGCCCTGGGTTTATCCAATGTTTCCTAAGGATGTTCCGATGGAAATTTCCCTCTGAAGTCTGTTACTTTAGGTCAGGGGTAGGCAACCTCGGCTCTTTTATGACTCGTGGACTTCAATTCCCAGAATTCCTGAGTCAGCATAGCATAGCTGACTGAGGAATTCTGGGAGCTGAAATCCACGAGTCATAAAAGAGCCAAGGTTGCCTACCCTTGCTTTAGGTCTATTAAAATCAAGATTTTGCAGTACTTTCATATTCAGATTTTGAGACTCCATTCTAAACGAACTTAAGAAATGAATATGCAGCAGGCCTGACTAGCGTTGGCGCTGAGCTTTAATGTGGCTCGTGTGATTTTTTGCTTAACATGATTTGTGAATCTAGGTAACAAATAAGAAAACAAACCAGGGCTTAACACAATATGCAATCCAGCCACTGTAGAAATTTGGCTTTACAAAGTAGACACTTGATTCATTAAATTGTGCAAGGTATGATACAGGTAGTCCTTGACTTAACGACCACCACTGAGCCCAAAATTTATGTTGCTAAGTGAAACATTTGCCAAGTGAATTTGCCCCATTTTATGACCTTTCCTGCCACAGCTGTTAAGCGAATCACTGCAGTGGTTCAATTAGCCAAATTGTTGTTAACGGGAATCTGGCTTCCCCGTTAACTGTGCTTGTCAGAAAGTCTCCAAAGGGGATCACTTGAGCCCTGGAGGCTGCAACCGTCATAAATATGAGTCAATTGCCAAGCCTCTGAATTTTGATCACATGACCGTGGGGGTGCTGCAACGGTCATAAGTGTGAAAAACGGTCATCGGTCACTTTTGTCAGTGCTGTTGTAACTTTTCAACGGTCACTAAACGAACTGTTGTAAGTCGAGGACCGCCTGTAGTGCAGGTGAGCCGATGTTAGCCATAGGACAGTGATAGCGAGCCTATTAGAGACTGAGTGCCCAAAATCTGACCCCGCCCCCTCTCCACCCCCCTGTCCGCCCCCGCTCTGCCCCCCCATCCCCTGCCCTGCCTGCCCACAGGACCACTCACTGCCTCCAGGGCCCGCTGCAGATCGCCCAGGCAGCCCAGCAGCACTATGGCGGCCACACCCTCTGCCCGCGCCCTGCAGCATCAACTGCATGATGGGGTGTGAGGGCAGAGTCTTATCTATGCTGCCTGGCTGCCATGTCCTTGGCTGCGCTGCTTCGTGTGGGCCACGCTCGATGGCGACTCTCCTTCAAGGGGGGCTGCTGGAGAGGGGGTCGCGGGTGGAGGCAAGGCTGGGGCAACGGCACGTGTGCCCACAGAGAAGGCTCTGAGTGCCGCCTCTGGCACCCGTGCCATAAGTTCGCCACCACTGCCATTGGAGTTGCCTATTTTCCAGGCAGGGCTTAACAGCACGAGAGGGTGGGAAGGATTAAGAGTTTAATGCAGGTAGTTCTTGACTTACAACTGGTCACTTAGTAACTTCTGAAGTTATGATGGACCTCCCTGTGGGCGTAAAGCCTGGTTCCAAAGTATTGGCACCTCCCCCTTGCGGTCACATGACCTCATGTCAAGCACTTGGCGAATGTCCGTCTGTTACATGACAATTTTGCTAAAAACCAGCACTTACTTCTGGTTTTCAGTCAAACTGATTCATAGCAACCATTGGTTAACCACTGGGGTATTCACTTTACAACAGGGGTGTCAAACTGCTGGCCTGCAAGCCGGATGCGTCAGCGTGAAACCACGCCCACCCCATTGCCGGCAATGGTGAAAAAGCTCCAATACGTTGCGCGATGTCACGTGACATCGCGAGTTTGACATGTCTGCTTTACAACCACAAAAAACGGTTGTAAAATCGGGCATGTCACATGGGTGACCCAGTTTACTACCATCACAACTTACAACCTTGATGGCTAAGCTCCATTAAGGTTGTAAGTCCAGTTCTACATAGATATACTTTGAAATGGAAAACTTGCTATCATTAATTTACATGATACTGAGTAACTATGAAGTACATTTTCTTAGAAAAGTTTCTAAGAAATTTTTTTGTAGGTTACTATAAGCTCCTGCTTTTGCAAATGTACTAGTGTCTTCTATAAAAAAACAGAGATATGTACTCCTGCTACCTGATTAGTCTTTGCATGTAGCAGAGAAGAAATTTCCAGAGTTGGTAGGTTTTAGCATTGAGGCTTTGTACTCCCAGCTGTATTTCCTTGCAGAGTTTACTGTGTTCTTAAGATTTATGGCATGGTGTCATATGAGTTCTGACATTAACTCTTGATTTCCACAAGATTGTTTTAAACTCTGCCAAGAGATAAGGTACAGCTGTTTACCTTGAAAAATATTGACATAGTAGAATAAGAGTAAGGGTAAAAAGTAGAGTAAGAGGTAGAGTAGAGTAGAGTAGAACGGAATAGGAGTAGGAGTAGAATAGAATAGAATAGAATAGAATAGAATAGAATA